TTCATCAATCTAAAGCAGCCAACCACTGTTGAGCACCAAATATGTCCAGATATTGTATTTTCTAAGAAATAAAATTTGCATGCATATTCGCCTTCAATTGGTCTTCCATTCATGATATCTTTCACAACACATTTATGTAAATTAATACTTTGTCAGCAAACAGCTTGGCACTAAGACTTCACTCAAAGGCGTGCTGTCTAGCAAATCCCATGTTTAAAAAAAAACAATCAAATAAACAAATAGGCCTACAGTTAATGTTAATAAGGGAATAAACGTGTGTTTGGGAGGGTATTAAAAACTCTGTTTAAGACCACTTGGGGGTGCACACCGGTAAATAGGCCTAAATCCATCCGCCGAGCTCATGAATAAAAGTTATACCCTCAAAATATTCTATATTAGAGAGTTCTGAGCGACGTAAAATTGGGGAATTGAAGAGATATGGTAATGAACCTCTGGCCCGGATTTGGGGCTTCCAATTCTGAGCATTTTGGATGCTATTGGGCTCGAAAGTGGTGCTATTTTGCCATGTTGTGGAGGGATCGTTTTTCAAGATGGCTACTTTTCTGCTTTGGGGAAAATAGGGGTCGTCTTCTTTGGGTGAGAATATCTCGAAAAGTCAATGTCAACCCACCAAAAAATGAATAGAAAACGAAAGATGACATGTTGATCATCATTTTTCTGTGCAGCTTGAATACCTGTGAGAGTTCTGAGTATTTTTAAAAGCATTTTGAAGTATGGGCATTTAGCACTAGTGTCTATGGGAATTTATTTGCAGGGTTGCATCCTTGGAGTCTGGATGGGTAATTATCAGCACTCCAGACTCCAACTGGTCTGAAAGAGAGTGTTTCATACTGACCAAGCTATTTATTTCCATTCATAAATACCTTTTTGGTCCTTTTTGAAGAAAAAGAAAAAAAAGAAAAAAGAAGAAAAAAGAAAAAAGAAGAAGAAGAAAAAAAGAGACTTTCGCCTTTCGTAGGAGGAGCCTGTGAGGCAAAGGGGACAAAATGTAACCATATTTGGCCGTACAGAAAGGAGGTTTGTGAATATTCAATTAGCAAAAGCAAAGTACAAAAGTCAGGAACGCTATATAAAGCAAACTCACAAATATTTGGGGCACGGTAGGCCTTTACAGGTGGCCTCAGCATAAAAGTGTCCATAAACAAAAGTCAGTTTCTAAGTTAACAGCGCCCTCAATTGTCCGGAGAAGAATGAAAAATTTAAACTGTTAAAGGGAATATACAACATTTGCAAACATCGAAAAATAAAACTACCAAGATTTACGAAATACCTTAGTAGGATGTTGGTGAATGACAGTCAAAAGCATCCTGTAAAATTATGGCACCTCATGGTGTCGAGTCATTTTCAAGAAAATGGTATTTTTGTATACATTTCCAGCGGTGGTCAGCCAACCACCGTTGGAAAAACCTAACTATTTTTCAACTACTGCTCCAAATTTACAATTGTTTTTCAGTCCAAATTTTGTTTGCTATTGGTTACATGTTCAAGAACGTGTGCAGGCCAGCTAGACTGGTTCCCTTATCTTACAATTTTCCGACATCTATAAATTATCTTTAGTGGAGTTAGGGAACCAGACTACATAAACAGTTGTGTTTTTCTTGGTTTTTCAAGCATTTTCGAACAAAAAACTTCAAACATGTCAGTTAAACAATATTTGATCTATTATACTAACCCCCCGAATAGTTCATTTCTGAAAATTACAGCAAAAGCCAATGATGTACATTCCCTTCAAAAAGAAGGGCACCTTTGAACAAAATTAACCACAACGGGATGTCAAACAGTTCTCATACTTTTAAAAGGAGTAGAAGGTTGCACAAAACAGAAGAATTTGTCGCACCCTTAAACGAAAGCAAAACATTTCTAGTGGGAGGAGCCTTTGAGCACAATGACAAAATGCTACTTGTACCATATTTGGCTGTGCTGAGGCTTTTTGTGAATATTCATAAATCTAAAGCAGCCAACCACTGTTGAGCACCAAATATGTCCAGATTGTATTTTCTAACAAATAAAAGTTGCATGCACATTCACCTTCAATTGGTCTTCCATTCATGATATCTTTCACAACACATTTATGTAAATTAATACTTTGTCAGCAAACAGCTTGGCACAAAGACTTCACTCAAAGGCGTGCTGTCTAGCAAATCCCATGTTTAAAAAAATCAAATAAACAAATAAACAAATAGGCTACAGTTAATATTAAAGGGAATGTACATCACTGGCTTTTGCTGTAATTTTCAGAAATGAACTATTTGAGAGGTTAGTATAATAATAGATCAAATATTGTTACACTGACATTTTTGAAGTTTGGTGTTCGAAAAGGTTGGAAAAACCAAGAAAAACAAAAATGTTCAAGTAGTCTGGTTCCCTGACTCCACAAAAGATAAAATGGATCAATTTATACGTGTAGATGATGGAAAATTGTAAGGCAAGGGAACCAGTCTAGCTGGCCTGCACCCGTTCATGAACATGTAACCAATAGCAAACAAAATTTGGACTGAAAAAAATGGTAAATTTGGAGCAGTAGTTGAAAAATAGTTAGGTTTTTCCAACGCTGGTCGGCCGACCACCGTTGGAAATGTTTACAAAAATACCATTTTCTTGAAAATGACTTCACACCAGGTGCCATAATTTTACAAGATGCTTGAGACTGTCATTTACCAACATCCTAGTAAGGTATTTCGTAAAAACTTGGTAGTTTTATTTTTCGATGGTTGCAAATGTTGTATATTCCCTTTAATAAGGGAGTAAATATGTGTGTTTGGGAGGGTATTAAAAACTCTGTTTACGACCGGTTGGAGTCTGCATGGGTAATTATCAGCACTCCAGACTCCAACCGGTCTTAAAGAGAGTGTTTAATACCGACCAAGCACATATTTATTTCCATTCATAAATACATTTTCGGTCAAAAAAAAAAATCTTTTCGGTCCCAAAATCAAAACAAGTCAAAAACTTGACGTTGCCAACCATTTTGTTCAACAATTTTACTTCATGTTTTATGAAACACCCCCTCTGATTATAATATGGAGTGTCCCTCTACAACTACCTTATAAGCAGGCATGCAACTGGGAAATCACAAAAAAAGAGAAAATTCACATTTTTCCCAGACTTTGTACGGTGTTTTTCTATTTTCAATGCCACACATGGGTACTCCTAGAACTATGAGGCTCCACATAGTGGAGCCTCATAGAGGCAGAACCTCGCAAAATTGTTATCAACACAAAACACTAATTAAGTACAAAAACGTCCATCCCAACCAAGCTGTTCCCCACAGAACCGCTGCACAGTTTGCCCCTAAACTCCGTACAATACCTCATGACATACTCACGTTATGTGCACCCAACAAACATCGGTGGATTCTGTCTGTTTTCGGCAAAAATGTTGAAAAATGTGCCCTTTCCGCACTGAGCCAACCTAACACTTGAAACGAGCACGCGCGCAGAATGATCGCAGTCATTTTCGGTTCGATCGCTCGGAGCGCGCCGCGGGGGTATGGTGTAGGAGCGGAACGATAGTATGCGCATGCGTACAAGTGCAAGTACATAGTTCTAGGAGTAACACATGGGAAGTAAAAAAGAGGAAATTAGCTGATCCGAGGAAAAGTTGAATGCCTGTATAAGGCAATTGGCATGCGCGTCATATGCGCGATGTCGCGCAAAGTGCAGTTGGGCTGATGTAGAGTGAATTTCGTACTAGGAAATACTGATTCACTGGTTGTATTGCGCACAACCAAAAAAAATGTTAAAAGGCACCGGATTTCATGAGAGTCCAAATTTCATGTGACATTAGAAAGTGTTTACATTACTGTACAAGCGAACCATGTCTTTATCATTTGTTAAGACCGGCCATGTGACGGGCTCTCGACCAATAGGAATGGGTAGGCCCTAAACTGTATTGGGTATTTGTTTAAAATTAAAAAAAAACACCTAAATTCAACAGCGTGACACGTACTACGTAGATGATTTCTCATTATGGCGATTGTGTAGTCTTCAGTTTTGATCATTAGAGTCAATGGTGTTAAAATGAATCTCCATGAAGAACAAATGTAAGACTTTACTGATTAGTAAAGAAGAACAAAAGGAGCTGTTCCTTGTTCTATAGTGAGAGTAGGGGATGGAAAGTAGAGGAATAACCATAAACATGATAAAACTTTTTTAAAAAAGGATGCAATGAAAATTAATTGGAAAAAGTGGAGATCTATCTAGGCCTAAATAAATACGGAAATCTTTCCTATTTCTCCCTTAGCCTTCCAAATATCACTATTATAGCTCCATGCTCATACTGTCAGTCAAATTTTTTTTCAGAGCAAACCAATGAACAGATCATCAGATGGGCAAATTTCACTCAAGTGGAACACTGTTTTGTCATGTTTGTTTTTCTTGGTTGCTATTAAATGCTATACATGTACAAAATCTACTGCACCAAGTCATGTGCACACTGCTGATGACGTGACTGTCTGTGTCCTGTCAAAATTTGCAGTGGAAGTTGATATTGTCAAAACAAATTATAACGTTGGCTTTACTTACCTGGTATTTCAATTTTGTCTTCAACAAACTCTGAAACTGTCAGTCACATTTCTCGGTTTTCCTTCCTCCAGCGCAGAAAGTGAAACCGGCAAAATGCCTTCTCTCTCGATTATTTCGATCGCTTTCAAGTTTCACGCGAACGGTACTCGTAAATAGCGCCCTCTTTTTAAAGCCCGCATACTTTCCCTTTTTTTTAATTTTACGACAAAGGTGTTTGCCACTTAGGTTTCGTTACAGATCTGGCATCGTCACATTTTAAGAACCCCAACTTTGGGGGTTTGGGGTCAATAAGTCTCTACTGTGCGTCATGATAACATACTTCTATAAATATTTTGAGGCCAACATTTGAGTATTTATTCTTAAAGATGTCAAAATGATTATACACCCTGAGACGAAGCCAAAATGGAAACGGAACCGTAATTTCGAAAACTCCTGAAGTCCACACGACTACCAACGGACTAGTAGAACAAGTTTACAGATGCCCTGGCAACGACCAAAATGGCGGACGAGGACAGCGAGACGAAACTGGCTGTCGTGGCAATGACGTCCCAAGAACTCGCCAAGCTGGCGCTGGAAGATGCCATGCTCGCAGATCACTCCAGCGGAGATGATTCTTCGGGCGATGATGATGATGACATTCGGTAAATTACCTCGGGACAATAAAAAACGGTGGTTGTTTGGAGCGTTTCTTTGATTGCCCAGTTTCCGGACCATAGGGATGTACGGAGTTGAGTTGTGCAAAACATTGATTCATTGTTGTGACTTGTGCTCCTTTGACTTAGTCTTTGTGCATTCAATTTGAATGTGTACATTTCAGGAAAAATAATCGGACATTATACTTATTGTCACATACTGTGGACAATATTGATGAGAAGTAGGCCCTAAATTTTTTGTGCAAAAGCTGTTCAAACTTCAAAGTTCAAGCCCCCCAAAAAAGGTGTTTTCTTAATCATGTTAATTCTTGAATCGACTTCACTTGTTATTGTTCTTGACCAAAATAGTCTAACGTCTTTAAATAACATCCCAAGATTTAACAGTCTTTTTTTTAATTAGGCACAGCATGATATTTTATGGATGAAGAAAATGCCAAATTAAACTTAGCCTAACTGTTTGTGAAATTTGAGTTGAAATTATCATTATTATTTTGTGATACTATAGTGGATATTTTGCCAGCGGTAATCCCAGCAAGCTAACGTTTACTAAAGGTTTGCTGGCGGCAATCCCTATCAACAGAGGGCACTGTACTCTCTAAGATGGGGCTGAATTATAAGATATATTCAATTACCACCACAATTGTGTAGCAACTGTGGTCTAGTGGATAAGCAATGGATCTCATGAGCGGGAAGACCCGTGTTCGATCCCGATCCCCGCTGGCAACATTTCTAAGGGTTTTTTTCCCCATAACCAAAAAATAAGAATATTCTTCTTTTATTATTTTAACATGTCTCAAAGATTTTATTGCAGAGTATGCCTAGGCCTATTACATTTTCTTTCTCAGATTTGTGGCTCTGGAGGATTTTTTTTTTTAAGGGAAATAAAGTCCGAAATTGTAAAATGGTCTGATTCCCATCTTGTGAATACGGAGATAAAACGACAATGTTGGCATGGAGCCAGACTAAAATTTATCACCGGAAAATGTCTAAGTAAAAAAAAAACAGTAACTGCGCATGTTCAGTGCATATCCGGCAAGCTAACGTTTATTTAAGGTTTGCCGTCTCTGGCAAAATATCCACTGCCAATATTTTATGGATGGAGAAAATGCCAGATTAGACCAAACTGTTTGTGAAATTTAAGTTGAAAGTATCATTATTACTTGTTCCTAATTACTTAATTCAAACAATTTTATATCAATGAGTGTGTAAATTCCCCTCACTCCTCAGGCCTTCCATCGCCGACCAACAGAAAGTTGGGTTCTTCAGTCAGGACAGGGCCACGCAGACCGAGCGATCTGACATCATCAATCTCAAGGAGATGACAGAGGACATACAGGGTCTCCTCAAGGTCAGTGCGGGGTCCAAGTTCATAGGTCAAGTTTGGCCAAAATAATCCATTAGGTTGTAGGCCTAAGCCTAAGAAAGATGTTTTGACATTTTGGCTCTGCTTTTGACTTTGGCTTCAGAAGATCTTAGCCCCTGATTTGGAGGACTCTGGTTCTTAATATGGGCCTATGTTTTGCTTCGAGTATATCAAATGCTATAACATTAGCAAACAAATTTAAAATATTGCCATTTGGTTATAACATTTAAAGCTTTGAAATGATCCAAAACTAAAGATGAAAGTAACCGACGACTGGAGTTGATGCTGAGGTTTTATTTTTAAAGTAGACTTTTAGCTATGATGGAAAAATAATTTGTTCATATTTTAATTGTCGATTTCAGAAGTCACAATATTATTTTGATTGTGTGTTTCAGGAATCACAAAGACTGAAACGGGAATTGGCCGTCACCAAGCAAGTCATGCAGGCCGACTACGAGAACAGACTTCAGGAGAAAACGCTGGATATGTATGTCCGCATCAACGAGCGCGTGGAGGAACTGCAGAAAATGCACTCAGAGGTAATACATTACTCAGTTTTCTATTTACTTGTTGATAAAGTTCAACTGTTCTGTACACTTTAAACATTGTTTGGTTGCAGATTCCGTGATTCTTTGGGATCCTAAGATTTATTTTATAAATTGTTTTGTACTTGTTTCTCCCAGAGGGTTGAAGTCGTGCGAAGAAGTTTCCGGCAACAATTGGCTGATGCTGTCGTCAAGCTGAACAACGATTGGAAGGTAAAGCTAAGCCCCAATTATTAAGCCATGTCCGACTTTCTTGGATATGGCTTGAAATTACACACGAGTCTATGTGAAGTGGCTGCAGCCCCGTCCCATAGACGTGTGTGTGATTTAAGCCGTAGCCAAGTCATTCGAACACAGCCTTAATTAGTTGCCTGATTTAAATGGCTGTGGCTTACAACACATGCATCTATGGAAGCCGCTGCAGCCGCTCCCCACAGACATGTGTGTGTTACTTCTAGCCATAGCCACGTAAATTGGACGCAGCCTTAGTCTGGTGCCATGCTGGAAGTTTCACTCAAAGAAGTTGAATTGACACGTGGGTTGTATTCCCGGTCTGGTTCCCTAGAAACACGCGGGGATGAAGATGCAAGCGGAGCAGAAGCGGCTGGCCAGCAAGAACGATCAGATCGGGGAGGACTATGAGAAGCTGGTGCAGCAGGTTGCGCAACAGGAAGGCATCATCGACATGCTCAGGATGCAGATAGCGCAAATCGCACAGGTATAAAGATCATCTGTGACAGAGTTGTAAATCATGTCAATCACAAGTCAATTCAGGATGACAGTGTCATGGTCAAGATACTTGTGACAGATCACAAGTGAATCACAAGCCCAGTCACAAGTCAATCACAAGTCAATCCTAAGTCAATCACAAGTCAATCACAAGTCAATCCTAAGTCAATCACAAGTCAATCCTAAGTCAATCACAATTCAGGCACAACTCAATTTTCAAGTACATAACAAGCTCAATCACAAGTAAATCACAAGTCAAGTCACAAGTCAATTCAGGATGACTGCGTTGTAGTCAAGATACTTGTAATGGATCAAAAGTACATCGCAAGCCCAGTCACAAGTCAATCCCAAGTCAATCACAGTCAATCACAAGTCAATCACAAGTCAATCACAAGTCAAATCACAATTACGAGTACATCAGAAGCCCGGTCATAAGTTAAACCCATCTCCAGTCACATGTCACAGGCTCTCGGACAGCACCGAGCGTACACTGATTATATAATTACATCTTGGGTGGAGAGAGGCAAGTAGGGTAAAGTGGCTTGCCCAAGGACACAGCACATAGCTTGAAGCCAGGTTTGAACCTTGGCCTCTCTGATCACTAGTCACAAACCCTAACCACTAGACCACGTCCTCCCCCCCCCCCCCATAAAAAACCTCCCTTCACCCCTTTCCTCACCCTCCCCCCCCCCCCCTCAATAGCCCATGCTCCCATCCCATCCCTATCTGAAGGGATCCAATGGTGACAACTCAGTAAATTGTTTTTTGGTAACCTTACAGGAACCTCGAAGCGAGGCGTCCACGCCCAGTGCCGTGTACGAGGTGGAACATCTCCGGGACGAGATGGGCAGCCTACAGACGAGAATAGACTCTATGGAAGAGGCTATAGATGCAAAGGACGAACAAATTGTTGAACTCAGTGAGTGTCTGTTTGTTGGCTGGCATTTGTTTGTTTGTGTGACTGTTGGGGTGTTTGTGCTTTTGTTTGTTGACTTAGTGAGTGTCCGTTTGTTTGTTTGTTAGTCTGTCTGTTTGGTTTTTGTTTGTTTGCTTGTTTGGTGACTTGGTGAGTGTCTGTTTGTTTCTGGGTGTTTGTTTGTTTGTGTATCTGACTGTTCTTTGTTTGGTTGTTGAATGAATGGAGGAAAAAGCTGATGGCACAGATGAATGAATTGATAAACTCAGTGAGGTCTGATTGTTCAGTTTTTGTTTGTTTTATTGTTGTTACGTTTGTTCTTCTTGGGGTGTTGGTTGTTAGTTCGTACTTTCAGTCCTACGTTCGTTTGTTTATCAATATCCCATACCTTTGTTCCATATTCCATGATATTTGACGACTGAATTTTCTTTTATCATCAATTGTTTGTTTGTTTCTTCACAACAGACAAGGATGTTGAAAAGTTAACAAAGGATCTCGAAAAGGAAAGAGTCCAAGTGAAACAGGTAATTCTTGTTCTTTTCTTTGGCAATCGTAATTTGCAACTAGAAAACCAAAGCACTTTGAATGTTAATTGTGCTTTAGCCAAAAACTTCAATTTTTACAAATCGATTTTGCCACAGCTTCTTCACGAATTAGAAGAAGCCAAGTCGACAGCGCAGCAAGAAATGGCCTCCCTCCGACGAAATGTAAGTGAAAAACAAATTGCAATTTTTAGTCCTGTAATTAGGGCCAAGTCGAACGATCATATGTGACCTGTTCTGTCAAAAGCAGACGCTTCTGGGCAGAGGTTGAAATTGAGATAGGGCCAAAAAACGCTGTGGGGGTGATTTTTATCGATTTTCAAATTTTTGCATATTTGTAATCCTGAACATGTCTAAAATATATTATAAAAGTTTGAAACCCTAATTTGAACTCTACATATACTATTTTTGATGATTTTGATGAGGTATATCAGTTAAAGAAATAACTGTTTTGTGACGTTCGTGGCCATTTTCTCCGTTTTCTACTTTTCGACACAATGAACTTCAAAATAGCATAACTCTGCCCAGGAATGACCGGTTTCAAAAAACAAACCACCTATTAAAAGGAAAAAGAACATTTGTTAACAATATGTAAAAATATCATTTTCGACCTTATGCCCAGAAAAGTCTGATTTTGACAAAACAGGTCACTTATGACAATGAACATTCAAAACCATGTCTTGGTCATTACTAATTTCTTTTTTACTGCATCTGCTTTTACATAAGGATTTTCGAGTGATACTTTGAATGTGCATATCTACGTGGGACTAATAATTTAATGTCTACAACCGTGCCATTATGTTCCTTAAAAATTATAATTTCATTTTAATTTGTACTTTTTTTTTCAGGCGGATAAACAAAGATTGCAGTTGGAGCGAGATATGCAAGACAGGATGTCCAAAGCAAGAGACGAGGTGATTTTTACTTCAAATTTTCTTTTTTCTTTTATGCTATAAATATTTGAGCATCAACTTTCTTATGAGTATATATTTGATTCTATGAAACAAAATACACATTTCTACTGGACCTTTTTTTGTAATCCTCACAACAAAAGACGAAACTGGAGCCCTTTGCCAATTTGAATTTCCTCAATGTGTCTCCAAAAAATTGTTGTTCTTGTTGTTGACAAATTACATTTAACTTATTATTCCTAATTTTCCAGATGATCGAAACAAAGGAACAGGAGCGTAAAAAAGTTTGTCCTTCTTGCATCTAACTCTTGTCATGAATATGCATTGCTTACCATTTTGTCAGTAGATCGATCGTGAATATTCAACAGCTGGCACTGCACGCATTCCATGGTTGCAATTCCCATTCACTGCAGCATACATAATGAGTTCGTGGGGGGTAAAAATTAGCATGTGAGATTTTGATTTAAGATGAATTAAGATACATTAAAATTTGTTCGTTTTCATGTGGACAAAGCTTTTTTGGCTGAGGTTTTAGTTGTCCTTAGATTCATCGTCCTTCCCTTTCATTTATTCTCCTCCGTCATATTCTTTGTGGTAGTTGTCACGTTTTGTTTTCAGATTTTGCGCTTTGCTCCGTATCATTTTTATTCTACAGGCTTTCTTGTCTCGTTTTTAAGAAAAAATTGGTTTCTTTCGCTGGTTTTCTTTTTTTCTTTTCAAGCAATGCTGATTGGGATTGATAGCTTTATCAATAAAGTTTTGCAGATGAGAAAGATATTTCAAAGATTGGTGCAATATAAGAAAGCGTTACTTTCTAGTTATGAGACTCTGTGACAATAAGTTCCTGAATCAGACTTTATTTCCAAAACGCTTTTCGAAATAGCTCCTGGGCACTCGGGAGAGAGCAGGATTATAAAAGGGAACAAAATGCGTATGCATTGGAAATAAGGTCTTCTTATGGCTAATAAAAGCTGTTAAGCCTCTGAAAGTGTGTACAAGATCTAAGACGAAAATCTTGATCAAAAAGTTAGCTTGAATTGGGACGTTGACTGAAATGCAATTTTTAAAATGCAATCTCCAGAATTTGTACTAGAGCTCTACCAACTGAGCTATATAGCCTCGTGCATGCCGTCCACCAATCTATCTATGTCTTTGTTCAAAGATCGCCATTTAGAAGCTATAAACCTTTCTTCCTAATAATTTGTTTTGGGTTGTTGTTGTTTTTTTCTTAGATGGTGGGGCTTGCCAAGAAGCACGCCAAGGAGGCTCAGCAGCAGGAAGAAGAGCGGCAACGATTGCTGGAGGAGCAACGCAAAGTAGCCGTGGCTCTGGAGAAAAAGGTAACATGCCGTAGCGTGAGAGTTGCTAAGCATAAAAGATATTTGATTAGCAAAAACAGTTCGCTTTCAGGGCTGGATTAAGTGGTCCATAGGGCCTAGGCACCAGCGTTCCATAGGCCCTACTCCGCCCTAGGCAGCAGCACCAATTTCATGTTGATGCTAAGCTGTACTAAGCAAGCTAAGCCAAACTGGTAGCTCTAAAAGCCTGTTGGTACACTGTGGTATTGTAAGCCCTCAAAATGTTCGTGGGCCCCAAATTTTTCGCTGGCCCTATGCACAGTGCTTGCTGTGTGTATTGTATTGGATAATCCGGGCCTGTTCACCTTATCACAAAGTTTTGCAGACTTCAGGCCTCTTAGCGTTTGATTGCTAACACTTTACAAACTACTTTTAAAATTACTTACAAATTTCTGTGTATTCTTTGCCTTTTGTATATTGCAGCAAAAAGAGAGTGCTTTGGAAGCCTCTAAGAGCGACACGGATCTCCAGCGGCTGAAAAAGATGGAAACCTTCCTCAAGTTAGAAGTAACCAGGTTTGTCCAAATTTCTTTTTGGGGTTTTTGTTTTCATAAAATGCCTTTTGATTAATTCCGACATTTTTTCAAATTCAGATTTTTTTGTTTTGGTTTAAATGTGTTTGGACATTGACATGAATGATTTGATGAAATGAATATGAATAACTTTGAATCCGTCATCTTGAATATTAATTAGCATTGATGAATATTTATAATCAAAATATATTTGTCAGTTATGAATACATATGTATTTACGACAAAAATTCAAATTGACTCTACAATTTATGGACATTTTCAGATTAAAGAAAGAACTTGCCAGGACGACCAGAATGTGGGAGAAGAAATTTGCCATTTTGCAAAAAAGGTTTGTCGCAAATCAAAGCCTAATTTCTCCCTCTTGAAACTCGCAAAACAAAGTCATATTTTAGAAGAAGAAAAAGAAACATCACTAAATTTACTTACTTAAACTTTGAGTTATAATGCTTAAAATGTTATGAAAGGTGAGCAGTATAAATTTGCAGTTACTTACATATGGTCTGATTGTTTTACTTAAAACTAATTGTAAAATTACGTAATGGTAACGTAATGGTACCTATAAATGCGAAAGGGAGCATAGGTTTAACAATAAGTTTCTGTTAAAAAAAAGTGAGTAGAATTGTCGGAACAATTTTGTAGTAGATTTTGAAATGAAATCGTCCGCACCTTTTCATCGGTTTATTTACCTCTTGCCCTTTCCAGCTTGTATGCTCTCAAAGATGAGAGTTTTGTCAGGCAAACGTTGCAAAAACAAGCAGCAACACTCCACCATGCCTCAGTGTCTTACGCAGTAAGTAGAAACTTGGGGAACTTTTCCATTTTCTGTGGGAATTAAGGGGAAAATGGTTAATCTTTGCACCCTGATGAGGTTCCAGTTAGTTTAAGTTGTTGTTTCAATCACAAAACAATTAGACAGTGATTTCTTTCAAACTAACATATTTCAAAAGCTGGTGGAGTAACAAGTTTTTTTTATTTTCAGGCCGACACACCCCTGGGCGTGTTACCTAGCAGCCAACCCAACAACACACCCAGACGACAAAACCCACCCCTGGTAAGAATTACTACTACACTTTTGTGGCCCTCCCCCAACCATCCCCCCCCCAACCCCCACGCACCTCCCCACCCCTCACCCCCGATACAAAAGAAAATGTGTGTCTATTCTCTCAGCTGAAATTAATTTCTATCTTCACATGTTATTCGTAAATATGTATATTTTGTTTTCAAATTTTGTTTAAACTACTGAAATTTTGATAGCTATACTACATTCTTTGTTCTAAAAAAAATATGATAAATTGATATTAAGTCAAAATAGATATTGACATATCAATTTTTTATACTTCATAAGTTTTGTAACTTATATTCATCTCTCTAAAAATAGTGTTCTAATATTAATTTCAGAAATTTTAAACATATTTTTAACTTGCCCTTTGACTTCTTTTTGCAGCCTGGGATAGGCAAGATGTCAAAGGCCAGAGACCCCCGCCTTGACCTGATCTCACCGTACACTGTGTCGCCGCCCTCGGGCAGGGGCGTGGAGCTTTTCTCTGCAGCAGGTAAGAAATTTTCTTCCTCAAGTATTCTTTGAATATGTACCAGTCCCACAGAGGGCCAACCTATGTACTTCTTTGTACTGCATAGACTCACTGTTGCTTGTGAGCCGGGCAGTGCTGTTGTATAGGAGCACCAATGACGCCAATTAATGTAGACCATTGTGAAGACCAGAAACATGAAAAGGCTTCCAGTGAAAAGCCATTCTGAATCAATTGAATAAAATTTGTTCCCCTCTAGAAAGAGCTTTACCAGGTTCATCGTGTTTTTGTTTTTTTTCGTGTTTTTTTAGCTTCTCAAATCGTTGACAATGACGAAGTTGATGAGGACTCGGACCTTGAGGGTGTCATTCCACTTCCATCGCCGCCACCAAAGTAAGTGAAAAATTCTAACACAACTTTAAATTGGATTGTCTCTAGTCCTTGTAATCGTTAGCACTGGACTCTTCTTGCCTGTCAATCAAACTGTGCATTGACCAATTAGAACCTGACTTTTTGTCAGGTGAACCACAGTAGCTCAAGCAACAAGCACAGCGAGAAATATGTACAGGTAGCAGAGATGGGCAGGGCTTATGGCCAAATATGGAAAAAAAGTTCATGTACATGTATAGCACAGTGAGAAATGTACAGAAAGCAGAGGGGGCGGGGCTTATGGCCACGTATGGGAAAAGTCCATATAAAGCACAGTGAGAAATGTACAGAAAGCAGAGATGGGCGGGGCTTATGGCCAAATATGGGAAAAAAAACATATACATGTATAGCACAGTGAGAAATGTACAGAAAGCAGAGGTGGGCGTGGCTTATGGCCACGTATGGAAAAAGTCCATATACAAGCACAGTGAGAAATGTACAGAAAGCAGAGGTGGGCGGGGCTTATGGCCACATATGGAAAAAGTCCATATAAAGCAGTGAGAAATGTCCAGAAAGCAGAGGTGGGCGTGGCTTATGGCCACGTATGGAGGAAGTCCATATAAAGCACAATGAAAAATGTACAGAAAGCAGAGATGGGCGGGGCTTATGGCCAAATATGGAAAAGAAATCCATATACATGTGTAGCACAGTGAGAAATGTACAGAAAGCAGAGGTGGGCGGGGCTTATTGGCCAAGTATAGAACAAGTCCATATAAAGCACAGTGAGAAATGTACAGAAAGCAGAGGTGGGCGGGGCTTATGGCCACATATGGAAAAGGTCCATATAAAGCTTTTGGAATGACCAATGGTAAAAGAGAAATACATGCACAATCATTTAATTGATAATTGTGTAATTAAAAGCCTTGACGCAGTTTATCACATTATTTTACTAAAAAAAAAGAGCTTAATTTTAATAATTTTTTTCAGATGGAAGATAGATAGCCGTCCATCTACATCTGGTCAGGTTATAGTATTACCATCAGCGTGAGAGAACATCGTTGGACTTACGAAGCAATTGAACAAACGATTGTAATTTGGACAACAAAAAAATCCCCAGCATGTTGACTTCAACACAAACAAAATTGATCATTATAACGATTAGTAATCATTTTTGGCACGCAGTATAAAAGCCAGTGTGTAGTTCGGCAGTGTTTGTATCACTTTACCATGGTTTAAAAGTCACGTAGTGTCTATGGTAGCGGCTGCAGCCACTTCGCATAGACTTGTGTAAAACTGTCCAAGCTGTAGCCAGGTCATTCGGGCACGGCTTTACATTTCAATTTAGTCTGGTACCCCATCTTCTCATTACACTAGCAAATTTGACTTTACTTTGGATAGATTTGAAGCAAAATGTAGTACCGAATGTATCAGCCCTAGCAATTAAATACTTTGTTCACAAAAGCTACACATTTTTCCCAACAATTTTAATTTTGTATACATTACAAAATTCTGAACAAAATGTGGAACAAGCTTTTTATTGTCCCAAGTTATGTGGTGATTTTTTTTAACCAGTTATTACTCCCTTTCTGTCCAAAATAACCAATTTTTGACATTTAATATATTTTGTATGATTGTTAATGTAAAATGTTGTAAATATTTGTTTATATTGAGATATTTTGTTTTTAAAGTGATAATTTATATAATTGTAATATTTGTACAGTTAAAAGGGTTTACATGTAGTTGTATTTTAATGCTTGGCATTGTTTTGAGCAATCATTTTGAACAATAAAACATGGATATAATACACTTGTATTTTCCGAATCCTGTGTTACCTTTTTTTAAGGTGAGATGTTTGTTTTCAAAGACAAAAATAATTTGTTTTAGAAACTCTTACTAGAATAAAGCACAAATTTGTCAAATACAACACACAATTCTAAGTAGTACGAATGTTTATTATCGCAACCTCCACAATATTCATTTTGCAAATTACCTTTCTGTTCTACTAACGAAGGTGATGAGAAAATCTTCATGTGGGTTCCGTCAACCAGACGATCAAGTTTAAGCGAACTTCCGAAACGGAATAAAGTATTAAGGATAACATTAATAAGGGAATAAATGTGGGCTTGGTCGGTATTAAACACTATGTTTAAGACTGGTTGGAGTCAGGAATGCTGATAATTACCCAAGGCGTCTTTGGTCAAAAAATCAAAACTTTTCGGTCCAAAAGTCAAAACAAGTAAAAATACAAAATTTCCAACGATTGTGTTCAATAATTTTACTTTCTGTTTTTCAAAACACCCCTCTAGCTATATAATGGAGTGTCCAGCATGGAGTAAGACGTAAACAACTCCTTTTATGGAGATTGGCGCATCACGCGTCCTGCACAATGGCGTGCAAATGCAGCTGTGGTGAGTGCGTTGCGAATTAAGGACGAAATACTGACTCACTGGTAGCATGATTTCATAGGAGTCCAAATTTCATGTGACACTGGAAAAGCGTTTAAGACCAGCCAGCCATGTCATTATCATTCGTTTAAGACCAGCCACGTGACGGGCTCTCGACCAATAAGAATGGGTATAAACTGTCTGAGGTATTTGTGAATATGGGGTTATAACTAGATTTGGCCCAAGTCTAGGTTTCACTTGTTCTGTGCCTGTAGTAATCACACGCATATTTATAGGTCTGTACAGTTCTGCGGGCTGCTTACTCTATGCACTACTGCATGCATGGTCAAGATATGAGCTGTGTATAACACGCGCCCTCGTGCATCAAATCAAGACCAACATGTTAAAAATGTACATGTACATGTTATTTTCGTGCGAGTTCAAAAACCAGACTTGGTCAATGTGCCAAATGTCTGTACACAGTCGATGTAGCTAATCAACCCATTTGGGTAGGAGCCTACCAACATTTTAATTTTTTAGCTTTTTATTCCTAAAAACACACGCAGATTGTTTTGAAATTCATTCTGAATATTCGCATAGCCAAAGTTTCGTGGAGAACGCACACGCATCCCATGGAGCGGAGTAGAAACAGATAAACGCACTCGTACATTCAAATGTCACAATATTTCAGTTAGACAATATATAACATACACTTCATATTAGTACTAAACAAGTTTGTTTCAATATTTTAAGTTCAATGTTTTTAACTTTTGCAGATTGTTATCCACCCTCCCATACCTACTGAAAAAAAATGAATTAGTTTTTAAAGAATGGCGACTCTGATTGGTCAAGCTGTTGCAGGGAATAATGCATATTGATGATGTTGCATATGCATTGATGCATATATTTTGCATACGTGCTGGGGGGGGGTGCTGATGCAGATTGATCAGGTCGGACTTCTGACTTTGTGAAATCACATGTAAGCACATGTTCTGCACATGTGAACACACATGCGTGTGCGCTCTTGTATTGTATTTCGATCGAGGACAGACACACAAAGGGAGAACAAAAGATCCTTTCAGTCCTCGAACGACGGTGCTTTTGTTCGAAACTGTCCTCGATCGTACGTTTACGTGCTTAGTCTATGGGAAAGTGTTAAAGTACAGGGACAAAGGGAAACACAATAGGTTGTCCTCAGGCGTACAGTAAAACACGACAATGCGTACACATAAGTGCGCATTGTTATAACACTGTGGAACGTGTGTTTAAGTGAAACTTGTGCTTCTTGAAGTGCTTTTGTGAAAGTTCTTTTTTTTTCTTCTGAAACCCACACAAAGTCCGACTTGAGTCAAGTCTACATTATTTAACTTAAACTTACGGTGAGCAAAGTTTGAAAGAAAGTCTTCAAAATATTTGGAGTCATTGCAGTTTGAAACAATGGACATTTCTAAGTCTACGTTATTTAACTTAAACTTACGGTGAGCAAAGTTTGAAAGAAAGTCTTCAAAATATTTGGAGTCATTGCAGTTTGAAACAATGGACATTTCTATGCTTTTTAGAACTGAATGAATCTTGAATGTTTTCTGATCACAAATTTGTTGCTGATGTGGGCAGCCTAATTCTATTACCTCAATTACTGTAAACAGATATTTTAACCTTTGCATCTTGTTGATAAACCATTACTATGTTCAGGTCTGTCAAACTCTTTTAAGGCCTACTAACTAGTATCAAAGCAAATAATTTTTAAAATCCTCAACCACTTCAACATTGTCGTTCAATCTTCATGATGCTGTATACAAACAAAACTTCAAATTTTGCATCAAATCAAAGAAAAACTCTTAAATAGATAAACAAAAAAACCTGGCCCGAGACTTCTTCCAAGATCACGTGACCTCATATCTTATTCAAATCTGTTAATAAATCTACAGGCTGAAGCACTGCAGTACAATACCGACGGGCAGCGCGTGCTGAAGTGCGCCCTCTACTATTGATCCTCGGCCAGTTTCTCCGCCTTTGCTATAACCTCGCTGATGTCGCCCACCATATAGAAGGCAATCTCGGGAAGATGATCATAATCTCCTGTGAAAGAATCAAAAATTACAAATTAAGTTTTTTCCACTTTCCTACAAGATCCTACATAGCAGGGACAATATTTCCACATGAAACAGTTGTTGGGTCAGATTTAGTTTGTGTGACGCATGAAACGGCGGTACACATGTGGAGCTGACCCATTTCTTCTGCCTTTGTTTCTTACACACGAAATGCATGGGAAGAACACAAGCATGTCTTGATGCAAAGGATTTTTCCGAAAGAATTCTGCAATTCTTGGGAGACATTCAACAGCCTGTGGCCCATACCGTTCAGGATCTGCTTGAATCCCAAGATGGTGTCGGCGATGGGTACCAGCTTGCCTGGGGAACCGGTGAAGACCTCGGCCACCGAGAAGGGCTGGGACAGGAAACGAGTGATCTTACGGGCCCGCGACACGGTCAGCTTGTCGTCTTCGGTCAACTCGTCCATACCCAGAATGGCGATGATGTCCTGAAGCGAACGGTAGTCCTGAGAAAAAAATAAAAAATATAAAATCTCCAGATAATTTGTTTTTAATTTTAATTTTAAGCATTTTGGAACGAGCTGAGAGGGCTAAATAATGAATATACGTCAGCACATGAAAATCAACCTATTTAAGGCCAAAAAAAACCTCTCCGGTTTCTGGTATGGAGCTTGCCCCAAAAGTGGTGCGGCGACGCGTTTTTTTTTTTTTTTTACCTGTTTTTTTTTGGGTTTTTTGGCTAAAAATGTCGGCTGACGACTGCAAATGGTGCCCGACTAAACTTAGTGCAAATATATGGGAGTCCAGAGAGGCCACATAAAGCTTATTCTCGTTCATAACCCCATCTAAAAACACGTTAAAATTGTGCAGCAGCAGGATTCCAGTCAAACCAGTGAGTTTGGCGGTTTTGAGACATCATCTTGTATTGAAAAAAAAACTTTTTCATTTTGCTGACGCGCATGGCTACGGCGACGCGCGCGCATACCAGAAACTGGAGACTTTTTTTTTTTGGCCTAAGGGGCTGTATTAAAAAAACATTGGAAGAAAGTTTGTCATGATTTTTTTTTGTGACGCAGCAAACAGTTGTAGGGTCAGATTTAGTTTGTGTGCCGCATGAAACAGCGGTCCACATGTGGAGCCGACCCGAGATTTCTCTACCTTTGTTTCTTACACACTTAATGCATGGGGAGGACATAAGCATGTCTTGATGCAAAGGATAATGTATGCGTAACAGGTCCCTAAATTGGTTATTGATTCTACCGGTAAGAGCCGGTGAGGGCGCCCTTTAAGAAACTCGTAATTACCTGAAGGATCTTCTGCACGCCTCTGGCGACGGAGTAATGCTCTTCGCCGACCACGTTGGGGTCCATCATACGGGAGGTGGAGTCCAGCGGATCCACGGCGGGGTAGATACCCAGCTCAGCAATGCCTCGGGACAGCACGGTGGTGGCGTCCAAGTGAGCAAAAGCGGTGGCAGGAGCGGGATCGGTCAAGTCGTCAGCGGGCACATAGATTGCCTGGCAAAAAAGTGACAAGAAACAATGCTCATTTCTAGTGGTGCAGATTCACTGATGCCTACCTGATGATTTTCAAAAGACACTTGAGTTAAAATTTGTTAGTTTTTGGCTTCCACAAATGAGCCAATTTGGCAGCTTTGGACATATTACTTTTTACTGTTGTTTACTTTTTTACTGTGACTTTTGCTGCTGACCACAAGCCACTGTGGCTTCTACTTACAAGCCATATTGGCTTCCAAAAATCCAAACACAAGCCATTTTAGCTTCTGTTCACAAGCCACTTTTGTTTGTAAACAGAAGCCATTTGGACTTGATTCACCAGCCACTTTTACCTCTAATCACATGGCATTTGGACTTCAATTCACAAGCCACTGTTGGTTCTGATCCCCCAATACATCTGAGTTGTTAATCACAAGCCAATTACACACTTTGCCAATTTACTACAATCCACAGGAAAATGTGTTATAAAATTTACCGGCCAACCTGGCGGCCATTTACCTGCACCGAAGTGATGGATCCCTTCTTGGTGGTGGTGATCCTTTCCTGCATGGTACCCATGTCCGTGGCCAGGGTTGGCTGGTAACCCACAGCGGACGGGATGCGACCCAGCAAGGCAGACACCTGTCAAAGGAACAAAATAGAGGGTACCAGGATAAACAAATTGAAAAGTTGTTGTAATAGAGTTAATAATTCTCGTGTCTAATTCTGAAATTTCTGATGGTATTTTGTAGGACCAGTATTAGTTTGTCTGCCGCACGGGACAAGCAGCAGACATGTGGAGCTGATCCGAGTTACTTTCCCTTTGTTTCTTACACACTTGTGTACGGATAACAACCACAAGCATGCCTTATTGCAAAGGAACTTTGTTTTCCTTAACCCCGACTCTCTTAGACAGTTTTGGTTTCAACTGGTTGTCAGGGTTTGGGTTAGGGTTTGGGTGGAGGGCGGAGGGAACAAAAGTCCAATCTTACCTCAGAGCCAGCCTGGGTGAATCGGAAGATGTTGTCGATGAAGAGCAGCACGTCTTGTCCCTCCTGGTCACGGAAGTACTCGGCCACGGTCAGTCCAGTCAGGGCGACGCGGGCACGGGCGCCTGGCGGCTCATTCATCTGACCGTACACTAGCGCCACCTAGGGGTAGAATCGAGACATTCTTCAGACGATTCAAATGCCAGCTGAGGGCGACTTTCATCAGGGGCAGCATGTAAGATTCTTAAGGGATGTGATTCACAATTGGGTGGCAAGGCGTTTGAATCTAGTTGCAGGCCATGTTGTGTCCCTGGGCAACGCACTTTATTACAACTTGATCTCCACCAAGCTTAGAAGCTGGTACTGGTATAAGCTGAGGAGTAACCTCTGATGGACAGGCACCCCATCCAGGGGGGAATAGAAATATTCTCCTTTAGTTCACCAAAAACACGATAGAAACAATACAAAATGGAGTTATAATAAAAATGATCCTGCTTTTCATGATCTACAGACTTCAGCCTAACCAACAGTTGGGGATTTTCAGAACACACCTTGGAGGTGTCGTCCGTGAGGCTGATGATACCGCCCTCTATCATCTCATGGTAGAGATCGTTGCCCTCGCGGGTGCGCTCCCCGACACCGGCGAAGACAGAGTAACCACCGTGAGCCTTGGCCACGTTGTTGATAAGTTCTATGATCAGTACGGTCTTGCCCACGCCGGCACCGCCGAACAGACCTGTCAACGAGAAAACAAAAAAATGTTGTTGTTTATCTTCCACCCAGCCCACTGTAACATTATCTGGTTGTTCACTTCAGGCAATTAACCTATAGCGGTAGAATCGCGTCAGCGCAGCTTATGAAATAGTGTCCATTTACATGATATACAAATAATAATAAATACTGAAGTCTTATATAGCGTACGTATCTACCAACAATTAGGTTCTCAAGGTGCAGGAAATTATGTCTATTATTAAAGACAGGTAAATGAAGTTAATGAGAAATGCGAGACCCACTATGTAGCACCTTATAAGGGTTTACAAGGTGCTGTGGCGCATATTGCAGCCACTGCCAGAAACACCAGGGCAAACCCCTTCTCTTAGCGATAAGTGTTTCTGGGTTCTTTAACGTGCATCACACAACACACGGGACCTATGGATTTAAGTCCCATCCGAAGGACGAAACAATAATAGTAAAGTGTCTTGCTCAAGAGCACAAGCACCATGTTCCCATCACGGTCAGGATTCGAACCCATGTACCACAGCACACGAGTCGAACACCGTAACCATTGGACCACAGCACCCCACTAAATAGATGCGGAACGCACAAAATCTGAGACAAACAAAAGTTAATGTACAAAATTCCATAGGGTTGTCTGAGGGGCGTGGCTAACTCGCAAACGGCGAAAGGTCAATTGACCAAACCACAGGCGGCCATCCACACAGTCTGGACACCCAGACACACATACACCATACACTCTGCACGTATGGACATAGACCTATAGGTGCAGTCCAAAGATTCAGACTTTCAATTGTTCAAGCACCATTTTCAACGATTCAAAAAATAATAGATTGTTTCATTACTTGACAAAAACAAGTATTACATTGGATATTAAATGTTTGAAAATCTGCATGTGTTCAGAAATTTATAGGCATGCCAGCAAGTTGTTCAGTCAAGCGATGCTATTGTTCCCTGCTAGTGTTAGGCATTCATCTGGTAATACACTCCCCCAAGCTTTACAGCTTGAAATCCTGGTAAAGGCTCAGACAAAAACCTGAATATAAACTCTTTATTCGGGTTCTCTGGTATAAAAAAATTCAGGGCAGTAAACCATACAGACTATTCTTTAATTATTTCAAGCGTTTCAATTTCCACAGCTCTTCCCTTACCGATCTTGCCTCCCTTAGCGTAGGGGGCTAGAAGGTCCACCACCTTGATACCAGTCACCAGGATTTCCTGGGTCAAGTTCATCTCCACAAACTCCGGAGCCTCCTGGTGAATACCTGCTTTGCTGTAAAAAAAAAGAAAAAAAAAAGAAGAAGTTATTAGGAAAAAATTGAAAAAATGTATTAAAAAGTCACAGGTTGAAATGATATTTCAACAACCTTCATAGAACTTAAGGTACAGTGAATTTGTTTGAATAGCGGCAAATGTCACACTTCAACTTCTTACTAATGATGTCATGAAATTTTCTTTGCTATCGCTTTCATGTGAAGTTTGAAATATCCCTAATACCCTACTGGAAATGGAGCAGCCAGTATCAACTGCCTTTCTTGATCCAGCATGATTAACTACTCTGAAGTACGAACCAACACTATAAATCCCCACTGGAATTAGAACAGTGCCGTTCTTTATCCAGCATGGTTAACCTTTCTAAAAGTATGAACCAACACTTAATCCCACTGGAATTACAATAGCCTGAATCAGCTGCCATAACCATTATTGGTAGTTTCCTTATTATCTGGTCTTTATTGGGTTAGGGCACTTACATCCCCACTGGAACTAGGACAGCATATACAGTCGACTCTCGTTAGTAAAAACACTGTTAATACTAAATTCTGGTTATAACAAACATAAAGCCTTGGTCCCGACTGTGCATTTATATGCACAATGAATGGTACTGATGTTCCTCTTAATACAAAATTCTGATATAACAAACAATTTGGCAAAGTCCGAACGAGTTTGTTATAACGAGACTCGCCTGTATCAGAAGCTGTTCTGAATCCAGCATGGGCAACCATTTCCTTTATTTACCTGGCTGTAACGATGGGGCCTCTCTCGTCGATGGGTTCCCCGATGACATTCATGATGCGGCCTAGCGTCTCGGGACCAATGGGGATCCTGATTGGAGAGCCAATGTCCAAGCACTTGTCACCTCGGACCAGACCCTCTGTGCCATCCATGGCGATGGTACGACACGTGTTTTCACCTGGAAAGTTTCATCAAAATAAGTGTCAAGATTTGATTGCGTGAATTTAAAGAAGGAACAATGGCGAAACTTTTCAACATTCATGTGAATTTATGTTGAACTGGAAACCTGGAGTGTTTACAAAATTATGGCATTCTTATGTCTATTTTATGCGGAGAATCTGTGGAAATTGTTTCAATTTTTTTAGTTAATTTTTCATTTTGAGATACATTTCCAAGTCTGGAGCCTAAGACCACCAAGCTTACCTAGATGCTGTGCTACCTCCAGCACCAGCCTAGTGGGGCGTCCCTGTACCTCCAAGGCATTGAGAATAGGCGGTAGGCCCTCATCAAACTGTACATCGACCACAGCACCAATGACGGCCACAATCTTGCCCGTGGCCCCAGTCTGGGCCTGTGTCTTGGCTTCTACTACATAATTCCTTCCTGTTGGGGGAAAGTTAAAGCAAAGCTTTCCTTTTGGTTTATTTTCAATACCAACAATGTGTTAATTACTTTCAGCATGTGAAAATACAAAACAATTTATAAAAAAAAAAAAAACAAGCCAAGATCCTTCACCCGCTAGTAGGCAACACCGAGCACCATGTCAAGAACTCCACCCACTTTGCCAGCTTCATTGCAACCCAATGAGATCATGGTCAGCTTCAATGTCGTCTCCCTCTTCACGAACGTACCCATGCATCAACGACGCCTGCAACATCGTCAAGGAGAGGCTCCAAACAAGACCCCACCCTCAAGGAACGAACTGATCTCACCCCAGACCAACTCCACGACCTGCTCCTAACCTGCGTCTCCTCTTTCAGCTTCAGGTTTTGTGACCAGTTCTTTCAGCATTCAGCTTGGATCTCCTATATGGCCAGTCCTGACTGACACCTTCATGGAAGGGTTCGAACATACAGCACAGGACACAGCGGACCACAGACCATGCATCTGGCTTCAGTACGCGGACGACACTTTCACCATTTGGCAACAAGGACAAGATAACCTCCTGCGCTTCTTGGAACATCTCAACGGGCTTCACAGCAGCATCCAATTCACAATGGAACAAGAGAGTGATGGCAACATCTCTTTTCTCGACATCAAGGTCTCAAGAAGGTAGGAAGGATGGCACTCTCTCCTGCAGTTTACCAAAAACCCACCCACACGTACCGATATCTACACAGCACCTCCTTCCACAATCCTAGCATCAACAGGTCCCTAGTGCGCCGAGCCCACACTGTCTGCGACAGGGAACACCCATCTGGCGAACTGAGACAAATCACCACTGCTCTCCAACGCAACAGCTACAGACCTGCGAAGTCAAGACTCAAGACTCCCCCCCCCCCCTTCAAGGGTCACCAAAATAACGAAGGTCACCTCTCTGGGGCCCCTAGGTCCATCGCCCTCGCCTACCTAGGCAATACATCCCACAAGACCCAGCGCATCCTACTCCAGCATATTCCATCAAGGTGTTCCACACAGCTCCCTGCAAGATCCAAGATCTACTCCAGTCTCACAAGACCAGGAGCGCAGACCAGGCGTGTACAAGACCCCTGCGAACGTGGCAAAGTGTTTGTTCGCGAAACCGGTAGGGACCTCCCAATGGGGACGTAGATGGAGACATAGAAAAATCACGCAAATGTAAAATACAACACACAATTCAATGTAGTATGAATTTTATTTATTATCGCAACATCCAAAATTTCCATTTGTAAATTATCTTTCTGTTCTACTGAAAAAGGTGATGAGATTGCATTCGGTGAAAGAGACCTATTATGAAATCTTCACTTGGGTTCTACCAAACAGACAATCAAGTAAAAGTAATTTCTGAAACAGAATAAGTTAAGTTTAATATTAATATGGGGTTATGTTTAACTTTGTGACCAAAGTTTGAAAGATAGTCTTCACAATCTTTGGAGTCAGTTTGATACAATGGAAAGTACTACGCTTTTTAGGACTGGATGAATCTTGAATGCTTTCGGATCACAAAGTTGGTGCTGGAGTGGGCAGTTTAACTCTGAACTTCAAAACACCATAAACAGAATTTTTTTTACCTTTGTGGCCCGTTAAAAACCATTACTTTTATCCACTCTTATCAAACCGCGTAAGACATGCTAACTAGTATCAAACCAAATCGTTTGCAACATATTCTACCACCTCCGTAACATTCTCGATCTTCACGTTGCTTATACAAATAAAACTTCAAATTTTGCATCAAATCACAGAAAAACTCTTTATATAGAAAAACAAAAAAACCTGGCCCGAGACTCTTCTTAGATCACATGACCTCATATATAATTCATAACTGTTAATAAATCTACAGGCTGAAGCATTGCAAGACAACACTGCCGGGCAGCGCGCACCGAAGTGCGCCCTCTACTGTTGATCCTCAGCCAGTTTGTCCGCCTTTGCTACAACCTCGTTGATGTCGCCCACCATGTAGAAAGCAATCTCGGGAAGATGGTCATATTCTCCTGTTAAAAAAAAAAAAAAAATTATTACTGCTTTTACTTCACTAGAAATACGCAAAAAGGATAATATAATCACATGAAACAGTTGTTGGGTCAGATTTTAGTTTGTGTGCTGCATGAAACGGCGGCACACATGTGGAGATGACCCATTTCTTCTACCTTTGTTTCTTACACACTAAATGCATGGGAAGAACACAAGCATGTCTTGATGCAAAGGATCTCAAATAAAAAAATTGTAATTCATGGAATATTTCAACAGCCCAGGGAGACCTTACCGTTCAGGATCTGCTTGAATCCTGAGATGGTGTCGGCGATGGGTACCAGCTTGCCTGGGGAACCAGTGAAGACCTCGGCCACCTGGAAGGGCTGGGAGAGGAAACGGCTGATCTTACGGGCCCGGGACACTGTCAGCTTGTCGTCCTCAGTCAACTCGTCCATACCCAGAATGGCGATGATATCCTGAAGCGAACGGTAGTCCTGAGGGGAAAAAACACCAGTTTTTCTTTTATTTTACAGTAATCTTTAATGAGAGTACTCATCTCAGTCACAAAAAAATACTTTCCAAAAGAGCCCTTCGGTTCAAAGTGCACCTCAATATCATTTTCTCATGAAGCAGAAAACAGTTGTAGGGTCAGATTTAGTTTGTGTGCCGCATGAAACGGCGGTACACATGTGGAGCCGACCCGAGAATTTCTCTACCTTTGTTTCTTACACACTTAATGCATGGGGAGAACACAAGCATGTCTTGATGCAAAGGATAATGTGCTACAGGTCCCCGAATGGGCTCTTGGTTCTAATTGACCCCACCTTCCTTTGCCACTGAGAGTGTTCTTTAAGATTCTTGTAATTACCTGAAGGATCTTCTGCACACCTCTGGCAACGGAGTAATGCTCGTCCCCGACCACGTTGGGGTCCATGATACGGGAGGTGGAGTCCAGCGGATCCACGGCGGGGTAGATACCCAGCTCGGCGATGCCTCGGGACAGCACAGTGGTGGCATCCAAGTGAGCAAATGTGGTGGCAGGAGCGGGATCAGTCAAATCATCAGCGGGCACGTAGATGGCCTATCAAAAAAAGAGAAATATGCTCACATTGACTCACAATCCATTGCCAGTGACGTCGATTTACTGATGCCTTACTGCTAACCTGTTAGCATCTGTTATAAAAGTCTTCAGCTTCCTTAAATATACTGTTTTGGCGTAGGTGGACATGGCACTTTTGAATTTTGTTAACTTCTGCTACTGGACACTGTGGCTTAAAGTTACAGGCCATATTGGATTCCAAACATAAGCCACTATGTCTTTTTTTCACAAGCCACATTGGTTTTCAAAGTTCCAAAAACAATCCATTAGAGCTTCTATTCACAAGCCACTTTTGTTTTTAAGCAGAAGCCATTTGAACTTGATTCACCAGCCACTTTTCTCACACCTCCAACTAGCATGCCATTTCGGTTTCGATTCCCAAACAAGAAATGCATTTTCTCATGGAGCAGAAAATAGTTGTAGGGTCAGATTTAGTTTGTGTGCCGCATGAAACGGCGGTACACATGTGGAGCCGACCCAAGATTTCTCTACCTTTGTTTCTTACACACTAAATGCACAAGTATAACACAAGCATGTCTTGATGCAAAGGATAATGTATGTGTTACAGGTCTCTAATTTGTTTAAGCTTAGGCAATTTTGGCGTGCGTGGACATGGTATTATTGAATCTTGTTAACAGATGCCGCTGTGGCTTCTAGTTACAGGCCACATTGGATTCCAAACACAAGCCACTGGAGTTTCTATTCACAAGCTACTTATGTTTGTAAACAAAAGCCACTTGGACTTCATTCACCAGCCACTTTTGCCTCTAATCACAAGCCATTTTGGACTTCCATTCACAAGCCTCTTGCTACCATGCCAATTTGGTTTCTATCCCAAACGAACCCAAGTTGTAAGTTACAAGCCATTTTCATACTGGCCACTTTACAAAAATCCACATGCCATTTCTCATCAAATTCACAAGCCACTCTGTTGGCCATTTACCTGCACTGAGGTGATGGATCCCTTCTTGGTGGTGGTGATTCTCTCCTGCATGGTACCCATGTCGGTGGCCAGGGTTGGCTGGTAACCCACAGCGGACGGGATACGACCCAGCAAGGCAGACACCTGTCAAATTGAAAAAAAACATAGCAGGTTAAAAAATAACCAGTTAAAAAATTCAAACTCTACGACTATTGCATAAGAGAGATGTCATAAATTTTGTTATAGAGAGTTGAAAATTCTAATGTCTTATTCTGAAATTTCTGACAATAATTCGGGGGCGTGTAGGACCAGTATTAGTTTGTCTGCCGCACGGGACAAGCAGCAGACATGTGGAGCTGATCCAAGTTACTTTCCCTTTGTTTCTTACACACTTGTGTACCGATAACAACCACAAGCATGCCTTATTGCAAAGGTACATTTATTTTTACTGTAACCCCGACTGCCTGATGACAATTTTGGTTAGCCCTAGGGTTAGGGTTAAGGTGGTGGGTATGGGTAGAAAAGTTCCAATCTTACCTCTGAGCCAGCCTGGGTGAATCGGAAGATGTTGTCAATGAAGAGCAGCACGTCTTGTCCCTCCTGGTCACGGAAGTACTCGGCCACAGTCAGTCCGGTCAGGGCGACGCGGGCACGGGCGCCGGGCGGCTCGTTCATCTGACCGTACACTAGCGCCACCTAGGGGCAGAACAGGGAAAGTCTTACGACTACTCACTATAACAAATGTAGGTTAAGGGTAAGTTTCATAAGGGGGATCATGCAGGATTTGTTAAGGGATGTGATTCACGGCAAGGGTTCTGAATCTAGCTGCTGGCCATGTCTTGTGTCCATGGGCAAGGCACTTTACTGCAACATTCTTCTCAACCAAGGCGTATAAATGGGGTCCAGAATAAGACGGGAGTAACCTGTGATGAACTAGCATCCCATCCTGGGGGAATAAAAATATCCTTCCACCAAAAAAAATAAATAGGAACGATCAGGTGATTTACTTGCATGCACTCAACATATTTGGAAGTTTTAACAAAACTGACCCTGCTTTCTTCATTTACAGGGGATATTCAGAACATACCTTGGAGGTGTCGTCCTTGAGGCTGATCACACCGCCCTCTATCATCTCGTGGTAGAGATCGTTGCCCTCACGGGTGCGCTCCCCGACGCCGGCGAAGACAGAGTAACCACCGTGGGCCTTGGCTACGTTGTTGATCAGTTCCATGATAAGTACGGTCTTGCCCACACCGGCACCACCGAACAGACCTGTTGACGACAAAAGTACAATTTTAAATTTGGATAACGATAACAAATTTACATCACAGCAAAGCTATTATCACAGTGAGGCTTTTAATTAAGACAGCATTTGAAAACTGGATCTCCAAATAAACATTGAATTAAAGATCAAGACATTCTCCTGCTCATTTGCATAGCTAAAAGGATTGTTCAAAAGAAACTACGGCATGTCCAAAAGAAACTACAGCATGTCCAAAAGAAACTACAGCATGTCCAAAAGAAACTACAGCATGTCCAAAAGAAACTACAGCATGTCCAAAAGAAACTACAGCATGTCCAAAAGACGCAGTTACAACCCCTCTGGTTGAACATTTTCAAAATCTTACAGTGTTCAACTACAAAAACACTTTCTTTGTTTTAAATGTTCCGAATTTCCAAGACTCTTCCCTTACCGATCTTGCCTCCCTTAGCGTAGGGGGCTAGAAGGTCCACCACCTTGATGCCAGTCACCAGGATTTCCTGGGCCACGTTCATCTCCACAAACTCTGGGGCCTCCTGGTGAATAGCAGCTCTCCTGTAAAAAAAAAAAAAAAAAGGAGTTTTGAAAAATATTGCACACGAGGACAAATAAATCCCTACTGGAATTAGAACACCCTATACCAGTCCCAAGTCTTAATCCATCATGGTTTACCAGTCTGAAGTTTGAGCAAACACTACATCCCCAGTGGAACTAGAACAGCTTGTATCAGCTGCCATTCTTAACCCATCAAAGATTACTATTCTGAAGTTTGAACAAAAACTAAAACCCACTGGAATTAGAACAGTCCATACCAGTTGCAATTCTTGATCCATCATGATTAAAAATTCTGAAGTATTTCCGACACTTATCCCAACTGGAACTAGATTAGAACAGCTTAAATCAGCTGCCGTTCTTAATCCAGCATGGGTAAACCATCCCTACTTTTTACCTGTCTGTGGGGATGGGGCCTCTCTCGTCGATGGATTCCCCGATGACGTTGATGATGCGGCCTAGCGTCTCGGGACCGACAGGGATCCTGATCGGAGAGCCGATGTCCAGGCACTTGTCGCCTCTGATCAGACCCTCTGTGCCGTCCATGGCGATGGTACGACACGTGTTCTCACCTAAAAAGTGTCATAACAGATTGAGTTCATACTTGATCTCATTAATTTTAAAAAAAAAAGGACTAGTCAAACTTTTCAATTGATGTGAATGCATGCAGTGAACATTTCCTGAAAACATATGGAGTGTAAAATCTTATAGCATTCTCATGTCTCCTTTATACTGAGAATCTGTTGTTAAAAGACTTGAGTTTGCGGATAATTTTATTGCCTTCCGACAGTTATTCCATGTAGTCTCGAAGCAATGCCTGTAGGACTAGTTTTAGTACCCATGCCTCACGATCAATTGGCACAAGTGTGGAGCTAGTCCAGATTACTCTACCTTTGGGTATTACACTCACACGACAGTTCCGTGTTGGAGTGTCTTTGAAACAAAGGCTTCACATTTATCCAAAAAGATAAAACAAAAACTTCCAAATATCAAGAAAGCAAATTGTGATAGGTCGTTCAGCTTGTAAATGTTTGTGGGTTGTAAATGTAAGACTTAAGTTTTGTTAGGAAATAATGCGAGATCAGCAGTTATTTAATTGTGTTGTTTCGTCGTCATTTTTCCACCTCAAAGATTTTCTCAGCATTTTATGTTTACAGCATAATACATCCTTGTATTAGGATGCAAAACTAACAAAAAATACATTCTGGTTGTTCAGGGAAATGATATTTCTTCATTCGTTATCAATTACATTTAGTTTTTTCTTCTTTTTATCCAATGACATTTTATAAACTTGTGAACAGGTTTTTAATTTTATAGATTCCAGATACATTTCCAAGTCTGAAGCCTCAGACCACCAATGTATAGCTTACCTAGATGCTGTGCTACCTCCAGCACCAGCCTACTGGGGCGCCCCTGTACCTCCAAGGCATTGAGAATAGGCGGTAGGCCTTCATCAAACTGTACATCGACCACAGCACCAATGACAGCCACAATCTTGCCCGTGGCCCCAGTCTGGGCCTGTGTTTTGGCTTCTGCTACATAATTCCTTCCTGTTGGGGGAAAGTTAAGTGTCTTAAGGGTTTTTTACAGAAATTTTGCTGAAATTTCAGTCTGTGATCTTCCCAATTTAAAACCTCCATAAATTCAGTTTTTGATATTCCCAGTTGAAAACCTCTTAAAGTGACTTTCAACATCAAAGGAAAGTCGTCAAAATGACTGGCTTTTTTTCAATCTAAAGCCACAAACTCTCCCCCCCCCCTCCTCAGCCAATCAGCCACGCCCATCCTCTCACTCAGCCCCACAAAATGACAAAAATGAATTGTAATTAAAAAAACATAAACAAATTGTAATTAAAAAATATAAACACAGCTTAAAATTTCCTTTTGGTTTATTTTCAATACCAATAATGTGTAAATTACTTGCAGCATATAAAAGCATAAAACAATTTATAAAAAAAAGTAATAATCTGACCAATAAATCCCCTGTCTCCCCCCTCCCACCATATCCTCGCTTAGCCAATTGAACAACCCCAAACTTTCCAATTTAAAAAGTGGAAGGTCCAACAAACCATTTAGAGTATTGATACACAATGTAGACGTGGGAATCTTTATTATTCAGAAAAAAAATGTCATTTTATTACATCATTCAAACCATTTTAAAGGTTCCATGAATACGAACACATTTTGAGCAACTTTCTATTCCTCTTAAAAAAAATGTATAAAAAAATGTATAAATTTGATTAAAAAGTGCACTTTTTAAACATTTAAAATTTACAATGCTTTTCAAGACAACTGAGAGCGATGCTGCTGTGATAGTGTGATGCCATTTCTGGGAGATATTGTGCAGTTGAGGGATTTTCTGTTCAAACTGTGAACCCAAAAATTTGCTCATTGAGAACGTCTGTGAGAAAAGTTTACTCACTGGCTTGCTGCCATGGACTGACACAACAACGAATCACCATAGAAAAGAAAATTTACTATAGCATTGAGGTTTCTGCCTGAAATGACATCACACTTTTGCTCATGATTAATTTTTGCATTAGCAAAACTCTAAAAAGGCACCAAAGGACACTTGAAAATGGCGAAGCAAAAATTAGAATAAGGTTAAATGGGACACACGTGTGCATTTTTAACCCAAACCATCCCAAATCCTCTTTGCAACGTGGAGGATTTTGCAGGTTTGAGGCTATATGGCAAAAGTGTGTGGCTGATTTTGAGGATGCACTGTGTCAAGGTCTTGGGCTGAACCTTCAAATTCTCCGTACTGCTCCAGGATGTCACTGGCTCTGCTTCAACATATTGACAGTGATTTCTGGAGGATTTTGCAGCATTGAGGCAGTGGTCATCCTGCCAAGGACCACATTCAAGAAATAACGGATGATTTTGGAGGATTGAGGCTGTATGCTATTTTTTACATGGAGGCAGTTGGGGGATTTTGCAAGATTGAGGTTGCATCCTAGCAATATTGTCTAGGGAGTAAGGGCCAAGGATTGCATTTAAAAAAGTTTACATTGTATGGGCCCTTTAACTTGACCCCACATTTTTATTCAGCTCCATTCCACTGCTGTTATCACAGTGACAGGTAGTCCTGCGCCGCATGTCCTATGCTTTCAAAATGAAATAAGATTATCTCTACTTCTTTTAAAGGTAGAGTAGCTCATTTGCAGCTATCCCCAAAAGTAACTGATGCATTATTGTTGAAAAGCTTACTTGGTTTACCCTAACGTACCTGAATCCATAAAAATTCCCCCCCCCCCCCTGGTTTTGGCGGACTCAGGATACCTCCATATTGCACGAACTGGGGGATTTTGATGGATTCAGGACTGTAAGCCTAGCCGAACTGCGGGATTTGGATGGATTCAGGATACCTCCATATTGAGCTGTTGGGGGACTTTGGTGGATTCAGGATCCTGTCTTGTAACCCTGCCAGGTCTGTCACATGCTGTACAAAAATGTATGTACTGGGCAGTTGGGAGCTTGTGACTGCGGCTTATTGGGCCTCAGCATATAAACAATGGATTATGTACATAAGCCATCCAGACAAAGCAATGCTGGGGTGGGACAATGGCTCATTGAAATAACCCTTCCAGACAATGCAAACATCATAGAATACATAATTACCCACAGCCCAAGTTGAAAGAAAAAACAGCCCACATCATATCCACCAGCAGTTTAAACATGCATTGGTGCATTTTGATGGATCCTATGCAACAACACACATCACCATTTTCATGTAAGCATGGTATCCTGAATCCGTCAAAATCCACCAGAATTTTAGGTGACGGATTTTTAAGACTCTATGGAATTAACATGCTGAATTTTTTTATTTTTATGCCACCATGGCATCCTGAATCCGCCAGAATCCATCGAGACTTTTGCTGGTGGACTTTGGCGGATTCAGGATACCTCCAGTATCTACGCCGGGGGATTCTGATGGACTCAGGATACCAGCATTTTTTGCGTGACAAAATTGGTAGATTTCGGCGGATTCAGGATACTTTCTACTAAACATGCTAAAAGAGTCCCAGGAGTTAGGGTTAAAGATAGTAAATGCACTAAGCTCCCTGTGAAATTATTCTTTCTGGCAAGCTGTCATTTTGAAGAAAGCAATGGAAAGAAAGGAAAGCATTTCCAAAGATGCATGAAGTGGAGCATTTTTGGAAATTTCCGTTAGCACTAGCAGTTGGTTTGAAGCTTGGCGAATCCATGAATGTGTGTGCGCAAGCGTTGACATGACGCACACGTGCACGTGGTTACAAGTAGTTGTCAGTTCTGTGCATGACATCTCGTAGCTGCAGTTGGCTGAATGAGACCATGTCCCGGATGCTGATTTCGCTGAGAACAATCCAAACCATGACCCAGCAACTTTTAATTTGAAACCGAGATTCCAGAATATATCTCGCAATACACAGCATTCACCGAGCTCAAACTTCATCAGGTTAGTTATTAACCCTAACCGCCCTGAATCCTCCAAAATCCTTTTTGCAAATTGGAGGAATTTGCAGGATTGAGGTTACATGGCAAAAGTTGGTTGCTGATTTCGGAGTACGCACTGTGTCAAGGTCTTGGGCCGGACCTTGTGTTGTTTATGCTCAGCCGTGCATAAATTTAGTCCTTGATTATACTTGGCATCCTCCGCACTGCTCCAGGATGTCACTGCCTCTGCCTCAGCCTATTGACAGACAAAGCCGGAGGATTTTGCAGGATTCAGGCAGTGGGCACCCCTCCATGGACCATATTCAAGAAATAGCGGAGGAATTTGCAGGATTGAGGCTATATGCTACTTTTCCATGAGGCCAATTGGAGGATTTTGCAGGATTGAGGCTACATCCTAGCAAAAAGGCCTAGGGAGTTAGGGTTAAGCACCCATCTTTACATTTTGAGCACTTTTGGTGCTTCAAATGAAAAAAATTCACAACGAGCTCTAGGCTCCGCCCTACAGACTGTCAATATTTATGGAAATCTACTGAATAAGGCGGACAGGTTGTCACAGTTCTACAGAAAGGTGCAGCAAAGGAGACGCATGTGACCAGTGATGTAAACTGACGGCTGGTGCATTAGCAAGGGCTTGGCATGTTGCTACATACATTACACTTTTGACTGGACATGGTGGTTCATGACGGTTAGTTGTTCACCACATGTATAATGATGGAGCATGGAACATGATGCATGGAACATGATGCAAGGAACATGATGCAGGGAACATGGTTTGACTAAATAAAGAGAAAAAATAAAATGAAATTCACCAAATACATGAACATGTTTCAAAAACTTGAGCACACTTTGTCTAATTTGGCAAAAATTATCTATAAACAAAGCTTTGTCCAAAGTAATAATGACAGTTAAAGTAAAGGTTGAGTGAGAAAAGTCCTAAATGGTATGAAAATAGTTTATAAACGGCGCCACCATCGGCTTCTAATCTAAATATTTCTCCAAGGCAGCATGACCTATGACAAAAAATGACAAAAGCTGACAGATTTTGTGGCGAAAATGATCATGTTGCAAAATGATGACAAGCATGGTGAAAATGAATAGCACCTTATGGCTTGAACAAAATATCTACCATAAAAATGAGCAAGCGCACTCTGGCTATACCCTAAATTATATTTTGGCTACTACACTCATGCATGAATCAACTCACGCTGTCATCCAACTTCATGATCAGTAGCGCGGTAGTCAAAACAAAGATGGCGTCTTCCCCCTTTCCCTGATTCCCTATCAACTATTACCCCTCCCCTTGATCGTCTTCAAGTTCAACTATTACAGATAGGCCTATCTCCGAAGAACAATTTATGCCTCAGCAGACACCCAACTAAAGCGCTTGCCAATTGTCAAGCTCTAGGCCTACTGTATCTCACCCTAGACATTTTTTGTATACTGCCTAAGCCCCCCTCCCCCTAAATATTTCATGCTTGACATCAAGATCACCCAAGGGCCCCACAATCTTGAACCCTAACCCTGCTGAATCCAACAGGATCCAACTATATCATATACCCGATGGAGCCTGTTGGATTGAGCAGTAAACCCCTTGCGTACATTCCTGATGCAAAATGCTGGATTCAGTAGGCAACTGAAAAATGAAAATAATGCACAGTGGATTGAGCAGGAATCTCCTGTTGGACTCTGTTGGATTTAGCAGGGTAATACTTAGGGGGTTAAGGTTGAGGCACGTGTGTTAGAAAAATCCTGCATTTTCCACGTTCTCAGAATCTTAACTTAAAATTGTGTACAGTAGGCCTACTGCATGTATCATTTAGCCTTTACTTTCTACAATGCATACGCAGGCATAGTCCTAGCATGTGTACTTATACATAATACATGATGTACATGAACTACACGTATGCCTACACACACGTATTCAGTGCCTAAGTCTTAGTAAAAGAGCTACGGGGAACAAAATATCGGGGAGAAAAATTCAACCTTTTCATAACAATCCTTGAGGTTTTTCAGTTAGAAAAAGCAGTAAATGAATTAATTGGACTGTACTCTTTTATTTTATTACCTTGAGTAAACTTCCAGCCTGTAGAAATTTGGTTCCGAAATTAGTCTTTTCTCATTGTCATGAGCAGCTGATTTCGGGAGAAATGTTGGTTCTCTAAAATTGTTCAATTTTCCCGCGACCACGCATCCGCTTCGTGGGAACATCGAGAAAGTTATGCTAATTTTTCATTTCCTCACCTGCTATTGGCTTAATATTAGTAATGAATATTCAGTTAGTAAGTAGGTGGTTTTTTTCCCAATGATTCGGAACTAAAAAAGTTCCAAGGTCATGTATGATGTATGAATTTTCCTTGACCTCACAGTGAAGTGGCGCATGCGCGTAAACATATGAACGTCTGCTGCGCAACTAAACAGCGGTGATTCACTTGTGCACAGAATACCAGTCATGCTATTCAGCGTCCACAAGCGTCAACAAACACGATCAGCGTCAACAAGCTAAAAATGTACTTTTAAAACTTCACAAAGCTATCATCGTATTCAACAAATGCTCACGTCGTATTAGGCCTATGTAAGAAATTGGGGGGATTTGAATTCACAATGCAACATAAACACACCCTCATGCGTACTTTACACCACGGATAACTTAAGTCAAGCAACAGCGGCCGAGCCGGCAGCGCACCACGCGCGTGACTGACAGCAACCAATGAAAGCTGCCGTAATGATAGCCAAGTGCTGCAAACAATTTAATACACGGACCAGACAGAATGTTGCATCCCGACGGCTGACGCCACTGTTTTCATCATTATTATCTCAACGAAGGTCAGTCATTGCAAAAATGGGGAAAAAATGTTGCAACCTGACGCCACTTCAGCGGTTGTGTACAAAGTCCTTGGAGAGTCAAGAAAATTTTCTAAGTGCATGTATTTCCTAACAAAATTGGAAAAGTGTCTCAGTCCCAGATTCATGTCTTATCATCATTTCTGCAATGACTGACCTTCATTGAGATGATTTATGAAGAAAAAATGGCGTCAGGTTGCAATATTTTTTCCAAAAAATGTTAAAAGAGTACAGACAGAATCTGGGACTGACATCCAATTTAGTTAGAAAATACTTTGGAAAGAATGTTGCAAATAAAAATGCAACCTGACGCTGCTTTTTTGTTCATATCATTTCAATCATGTCAATGAAGAAGGTCAGTCCTGTCAGTCATTGCAAAAATGATGATAAGACATGAATCTGGGACTGGGAAACATTTCCAATTTTGTTAGGAAATACTTGGACAATTTTCTTGACTCTCCATAGACTTTGTACACAACTGCTGAAGACAAGTGGCGTCAGGTTGCAACTTGCAACATTCTTTCCAATAAATACTTTGAAAATGCACTCGAGTCTCGACTCTCCACAACTCCAGCATAGATAGACTTTAATTATACACAACAAAGAAGTGGCGTCTGTACTCTGTATGCTACGTGCTTTCTTGAATATGTATTCTTTTAAAACGTAATGTCATTATATTATTACATATTAATTTCAAAACCATTTTAACTTGAGACCACATTTTTAATTCAGCTCCATTCAATTCACCATGTTCACTTGCATGACTTGTGCACAGTGAATTCGGCCTACTGCACATTCAATCGCTCGAAATATTTTTGCCGGGTTGCCACACCATCACCGGCGAGACAATTTTTCAGATAAGTAGCGAAAAATTCTCTTCAAATGTTCCACCTACTTGAGCTATATGTTGCCGGTGCACATATTCTTGCCGTTTGGCTAGCAAGACCGGCAGAAAACGCCGGTTTTGCAGCCCTTACTGCCGAGAAACACGACTTCGCTATTCCTGAAAGCATGGCGGCCATTGACGAACAGAACGCGGCCGGCCTCTTTCGGCAAACTTCGGTAATACTCGGAAGGTATCTAGGAGCATGCGCAGCAGCACGTGATTTCTGTTCCACAGCTGATTGGTCATGCGAACCGGAAGAGCATTTTGCGTTCTAAACTCAAAAACCGTTTTGTGCAAAAGATTTTGGTGAAAGTCGCGCGGACAAAGGTGAGGTTTTTGCAATATTCTTCCCTTGTATGAAACTTATTTTGAATATAGAATATAAGGAAACGTAATTTATGATATAGAATCAGTTAAGAAGTGTTTAAAGAAAGCCGAAATGTCTGAAAAGGCTCTCGAAACGGGGGATTTTTTTACAACACATTTCATATCGGATACATCTTTGTGTTGCCTGCCGTGTGTTGCTGCCTGAGTCAGTGAGTGGTGACTTTTTTTGTTGGCGCTGCTTCACTGCTCGGGAAGTCGGCATGGTCCGGGGGGGGGGGGGTCTCTGTATTTTAAAAAAAAAAATGTGAACCTTAGTTTTGTGAGTGTGTTGTATTGAAATTGTTTTTATCAATATCTACTTTGCTGTCGAAGATAAAATAGAAAAACTTCAAAAAGTCCAATTTGTCATGTTTGTTTGGTTTGAAATTGAATTGGCTTTTTTTTTGGGGGGGGGGAGTAACGTTTGGACTTTTTTTCCCGTTTTTTTAAAGAACTTTAACGGTAATACGGGCCATCTTGTTCACGGCAAAAAAGAACATGCGTTGCTACTAAATGCGAGCGTATTTTATTTGGCATAATCCGATTGCATGATGACTTGGATTTTTTTGGAACAATGGAAGTGCAAAAGTTTTTGATTGACTCGGTGCTCAGCAACGCACATTCTTCTTGCCCTGGGAACAAGATGGCACATATTTCTGTCATGACTGTGAAAGTATTGTGCTAGGCTACCATTGTGCCAAGCCGTAAACCATTAATATTTTATTAGATTTTGGTGTTAAATTAGAACCCAAGTAAATCTCAACAGTTTCAACAAAATATAATCAGCACTACAACTATTGCTAATGAGGCATACTTTTTATTGTGTTCTGTTTCAAGAAAGTTTTCATCACGTCGAAATTCAGGAAAAAAACGTAGTAAAACTTTGAGGCCATGAGTGGAGGGAGTAACAGATCGATAGTGGCAGCCTTTGACGAGATATGCCACTACCAGTCAGTGTTGAGCAAAGGCTGTGAACCAGGTACATGTATTTCTTTTTTCTTCTTGTTTTAGAGTTATTTTCTTTTAATGTAGGCCTATCAGAATCACAAGCCAGTATCTTGTTAGTTGAATATGCCATGTGGCCAGGGATCATGCCCAAAGTCACAATGCTGGAAACATTAGCAATGCTGCAAACCTAGGCTTCAGTAACTCCAGTTTCTGTCCTTTTTGTGTGCCTCCCTAGAATTCCTCAAGTTTACCAAGAACCAGGATTCATGTCGGCGCCAGTGGCTGACGGCCTCCCAGGAGCGGCTTCGCATGCAGGAGTTCGTCACCAAGATAACGGCCGAGAATAACGGGCTGAACACCAAGCTCAAACATGCTAGGTCTGTAGATCCGTTCTCCCTTTGACTTTTGACATTTGTCCTCCTTCAGTGACTTTAAAAAAACCCTTGAAAAGGAACTGTTTTTTCCAGCTTTGCTAAATTAAAATCTGGTGACGTGTTAAAGAATGATGCGTTGTTAAAATAAATTTTAATTTGTGGGTTTTTTTTCTTTTATTGACAGGAACCAAGTTGATATTGAATTGAAGAAACGGAAGAAGGCAGAGGGTAGATCAGAAGAACTGGTAAGTTTGCATGTTTCCAAATATGCCCCAAAAAACCATGAGTTTCTCATTTTTGTTAGATTAACCATATCCCCCAGGCCTCAATCCCCTCAATCCTCTAAAATCCTCCAAAATGTTGCACTTGTGTTCAAATGAAGGATACCCACTGCTCAATCCTTCAAAATCCTCCAACATCCCTGCCTCTCAATATGCGTTCAGCCTCAATCCTCCAAAATCCTCCTCTTCTTCATACACCATTCAGCCTCAATCCTCCAAAATCAACCGATTCTGAATGTCCACGTGCCCTCAATCCTCCACAAGCCTCTAAAATTGTATGTTGTATTCAGCCTCAGTCCTCCCAAATCCTCCAGAACCGCCCGTGGGACATTGGAGGCTCGAGGAGGGTTAGGATTAAAACTCTTAACATGCACTAAATTTGAAAATAATTTTCTGAGACTTGGCCTTAAAACCCTAACCCACCTCACTCCTCCAAAATCCTCCTGGCGGTTTTGGAGGATTCTAGAGGATTGAGGATGAATGGTGATTGAATCAAATGAGGATTCTGGAGGATTGAGGATGAATGGTGATTGAAGCACATGAGGACTTTGGAGGATTGAGGATGAACGGTGATTGAAGCACAAGAGGATTTTGGAGGATTGAGGATGAATGCATTTTGAGGCAGGACTATCTGATGATTGTGAAGGATTTGGCGTTGGTTATCCTTCATTTAAACACGAGTGCAAAATTTTGGGATGAGGAGGATTTTGGAGGATTGACGATGAATGCATTTTGAGGCAGGACTGTCTGACAATTTTGAAAAATTTAGGGCAGTTGCAAAATTTTGGAGGATTTTGGAGGATTGAGGATGGTTCTTAGCAAAAAGGGCCTAGGGGGTTAGGAATTTATAGTGTATATTCTATTTTTCATCTTCTTTCTACAAGAGGTGATTGTAAATAATCATTTTTGTTTGTTCGGAAAAAAATGTACGATATTTGTTTTGAGTTGGTTTTTTTTGTGTTTTTTTTGGGGCAAACCAAATAGGACCAACAAATCATGCTGATCCGGGAGCTACTTGCCGACAACAAGATGAACGAGCTATCAGAGAAGGACCGCGAAAGCCTAGCCTTCCTGAAAAGCGAGCAGCAACAGCAGAACGGCGGCACGCCCACCTGCCACCGGCTCTCGGCCGTCCACGAGCGCTCAGCGGACCTGCTGTCGCCCTCGGATGTCAGCTACGACCACACGGAGGACGACCTGGACGTGTCCTACCTGCGGGGCGGGAAGTCGTGGAAGCGGGCCGGCGGTGGCTCAAAGAAGGTTGGAGCTCCTTTTTTCCATATTTGGTTTAGTTTGGATGAATTTTTTTTCACTGGAGGCTAGACCCGTCTTTCCTCAACAGGGGAAGGAAGTTAATTTAAGATGCAAAATATAAAGTTTCCTTTCGTAAATGATGTATTTTTTATGTTCCTTTAAGTACCTATAGGAATTAGGGACTGTCCAAACATATTTTGCAGTAATAGGAATTATGTATCGTTACGTGTTTGAGTTGTACATTCTTCTGATATTCGATGATTTTGAAAAGATGTTAATGAATTGACCGTAAATTTAAATAAAATAATTTCCATTACTTTCCGTTGGCCAAAAGGTTACGCCATTTGAACATTCCTTAGACATGTAGACAAAATTGTTTGTTTTCCTTGTTTTGCCTTCTTTTTTTCCTCCCTTTTCTCATATCTTCAAATTTTTCTCCATTTCCTCACACTTCAGAGACCGAGCGCACCCCCACTCGAGGAAGACACACCTCCCAAGAAAGCGAAGACGCAGTATATGACTAGTCCCCAGAACAAAGTGGTAAGTTAGACGTCAACAAACACAGAATCAAAGACATACAGCTGAATGTATGGAACTGATAAGCTCAGAAAATATGCTTCTCACTGAAAAATGTCGCCTGGCAAAAAAAAAGTAACCAGAAAATATTGTGTGAAGTATATAATTGCTGTTGATTTTTGCTCGATACATCTAGGATTTTGCATATAATTTTGCACACAAAAAATGTGCTTTCCAGAAAAATAACTCTTTGAGTGAAACAATTATACAAGAAATTAAAAAAGTCTAGCTTGCCCGGTTGAGCTAAACCCACAAGTCTCATTTTAGGGAAATGTTTATACTCAGTGACCCCATCAGAGAATTAAAAAGGGCTGGTCATGTCAAGCAAAAAAAACTAGAAAGTGAAATGTTGTAATTTGGGCTGTGTTACATTGTTGCCTCTCGTTCCAGGACACCTCAGTTGTCACGACGACCGTCACCGTGCCAGCCGACGGACCAATCACAGCGGCCACGCACGTAGAAACGATACCGCGATTGGAGAAGAGCTTCTCCCGGCCGCCGGGGCCCAAGAACCGCAAGAGACCCTCACGGGAACTACTCAAGAGCGGAGGTTGGTTTTTCTTATATTTGCCATGCACTTTTGTAAACAATCGTGACTTTTGCAGTGAGATTGCAGTCTGTGATTTCACTGTGGAATTGTGGCTGACTTTTCCCTTTCAGATCATAACGTCTCTGACGATTCTTTCTGGAGTGCCCCTGAGAACCAGCACCTGAAGGCCGCGCTGAACGCCGGCAACGTGGGCAATCGACAGAGAGAGCAGCCAAGCAAACCGGCCAAGCCGGTCCGCCAACACTCCTTCTGCACCAAGACAGTGCTCAAACCAGAATCCTGCAAACCGGTCAGTTGAGAAAAAAAATTCCATCCCTTCTTCAATTTCAGCCGTCAAATTCCTTCAGTCTCTTCACTTGCGTAGGATGTTGAAGAGGGAGGCATCTATCGGGCATGCAACTTTTCCTCAGATCAGCTGATTTCCTCGTTTTTGACTTCACGTTGATGCCATTGAAAATTGATAAACACAGTATAAAGTCTTGTCAAGCTAGAAATTCCCTCTGTTGGTTTTGTGTTTTCTTCCCAGTTGCATGCCTTATCCATGAAATAACTAATGTGAAATGACTAGCACCCCTTGAGCAAAGATATTCACAAATTGGGGTACCGTCAACATAGGGCTGGATAGCTCAGTTGGCAGATGTCACAGGTTCAAACCCAGCTCCAGTCCATTTCTTTGTTCAACTTTGAAAAAATGAGTTTCAGTTAAAAAAAAACAGAATTACTTTTATGTGAGAAAATTATGCGAAAAGTCGCCAAAATTTTAGGCTGAATTTCAAGACGTAACAAATCTTTCACTTTCGTCAGCTTTTTTTTTTACGACTTAAATCTTGTTTCCTTTGATCCAGTTTCAAATTATAGAACTTTTGATTGTAATTTTCCTTGACACCATTAGTTGAGAGAAATTAGTCTTCAGTGCGGCAATATTGTAATCTAAAAAGAGACATGCTTTAGTGGTTTCATGGGGGGTTACACCCTGTGGTTTGGGCTTATTTGCATTTTTGTGAATGAAGGAATGAACCATTTTCTTCAAAGAATGAAGCATTTTCTTAGTGACAATAATACTAGGTGAGTCTTGACGATGAGGACAAAATATGATTTAGTTTTGACATTGTGCAATTTTCCTTCTTTTTCCCCCTCCTTGCAGTGCGGGAAGAGAATCAAGTTTGGAAAATATGCACTGAAATGCAAGGGTGAGTTCTTTTCAATTTTTCCTTCTTTCGTTTTTTTGAATGTATGTGATCAACAAGAATCTTCCGAAAATAATCTTCTAAACAACATTATGACCATTAACCCATTATTTTAGAGCAAGTGTTTTTTTTGTATTTAGCAAATTTCGGATTTGTCCTGGGTTGTCTGTTGTAGATTGCCGCATTGTCTGTCATCCCGACTGCCAGGACTCGGCCCCACTCCCCTGCCAGCCCGTGACCATGACGCCCACCAAGAGCCGACCCTACGGACCTAACACCCAGCTGGCTGACGTCGCCCCTACCACCTCCCCCATGGTCCCTGCACTGGTCGTAAGTCCATTTTGAGAAAACAATAAAAAAACAAACATGCACAACCTTTTGATCCGGAAACACGATTTTGTCTATTGCACTTTTTATTTCAAAAATATCGGTCAATTGACTGATCGTCGGAAATCACCTACATTTCTTGATTTTTGCCACATGACAACAAGCCAGAGGGAATTATTTCACAGGGTGTTTAGTACCAGTACAATCTTTAATCCAAGTAAGTAGGTTACTTTGGGATAAATGCTAAATGATCCTATATGCCTTCGATGTGAAATTTACACATCATGAGCAAACCAAACTGCCTTGCTTACACATAAATGTGAACTGTGTTAAGGCCAAAAAACAAAACAAGTCGGTCGCTGGTCAGTGCGCGCGTCGATTTTAATCATGCGCGTCAATTTTTTTTTTTCCCAAATGTTCCGCGGTAGCTCCATCAGCGCCCTCTATTTCCGCACCTCAATTTTTTTTACCAAAGAGCTCCAAGGAATGGGAAATTGCACCAAGGCAAATGATCAAAAGCACCAAGGCAAATTATGGAGGACACCAGTGTACATGAGGACACCAAAAAAGCAAAATAGTACCCCACCTTGTCTGTACAGTCCAAGCTTGAAGAAAAGAAAAAAGCCGCGTGGCCACGTCAATTCCGGAACTTTGGTCTGACCAGAGACCGAATATTTATTTTTTTGGGCCTAACCTGCAGAATTTTCTTCCGTAGTAAGCGAAAATTCTTCGCTTGCGGTGAGCAGATCCATAAAATTTGGCCAATGCCCTAAGGTTGTGATTCTTGTAACTTAACAGATCCAGTGCATCGCTGAGGTTGAGAGGCGAGGCATGAGCGAGGAAGGACTGTATCGTCTGTCCGGCTCAGAGCGAAGCATCAAAGAGTTGAAGGAGAGAGCAATGCTGGGCAAAGACCTGCACCTGGTGAGTCAACCAGGGCCATTTTTTTTTTTTTCAAGACGCGGCTTGACAAAAGAATATTGCTTAACCACTTCGCGCCGGGATTATTTTGACATTGAGCGGACCCAGGCGCAGGATTGTTTTTCACGAACCTCGATGTCAGACGGGTTCGGGCCGTCATCTGCGGGTAGCACACCCTGATATTTCTGGCCTTGCTCGTTGCGTGAATAACGCTAACCTTTGCATGTACACACGTCATCCGACGTGAAATATGGAACCACCCTGCGAGAGCCAAATTATTGTATGGCAGTGACTAAACATTGGGTATTTTTGGAGAGGGAGGGTTTGATGTCTCTTCAAACATGTCAAACATGATTAACTTTTAAGTTGCTAGGAAAATGGCAATAGAAAGAAAACCAAATCTACTTTTCGAGGCGAAAGTCGACAATAGCACGGGTAACACATGTTTAAACAACATAATCAGTTACAAGAATAATGAAGGTTATTTATTTTATTTTATTTGTTCCAATTTTTTTTCATCCCCTCAAGGACCGAACCCCAGACATCAACAACGTGACCGGCCTCCTCAAGGACTTCCTGCGCAACATCTCAGAGCCTCTCGTCACCTTCAAGCTCCACGAGACCTTCATGAGGGCGGCCAACCTGCCTGATCCAGACGACGCCATCACGTTCACCTATCAGGCCATCAGCGAGCTGCCCCTCCCCAACCGCGACACGCTGGCCTACATCATCCTTCACCTACAGAGGTTGGTCTCCTAAATTCGTGAAACAGCAAAAAAGTATTCACTGAAGTTTTGTTTTGGTATGGTTTGTTAAAGTTGGCATGACGAAGGCGTCCTATTGAACTTTTGTGTGTGCTTCCAACAGCTTCAAAACTTAAATTCCATCAATGGAGTTCCCGCTTGAAAAAGTTAGCAGAATTTCTGGAGCAAAAAATCTACTAAAACTCTAAACTTGTTTGGAGGAGATGAAGCATGGATGGACATTTAAAACTTTAAAAGTAAAACTCCAACGCCGTCTGCTTTGTCCTATCTTAAAGATGACTGTCTATTTTCTTCACTGAATTCAATTTTTTTTTTCTCCCAACAAAATTTAACCTTTGAGTATTTTATTAAGCCAAAAAAAAAGCTTTTTCTTAATTTTGCGTCTGCAAACGCCTGAAAAAGGCTTTTAATTTGGGTTCCTAGGGAGAAGATTACAGAATCATCTTCAGGCACAAAGAGGCACACTGCTTCCATGTGGGTGACATGTGTAGAATGACATGTGTAGAATGACATGTGTAGAATGACATGTGATTGACATGCTATTGACATGTGATTGACATTGACATGTGATTGACATTGACATATGATTGACATGTGAATGACATGTGATTGACATGCGATTGACATGTGATTGACTTTTTTTTTTCCTTTTATTTCCCACAGGGTCTCTGAGAGCCCAGTCTGCAAGATGGGCGTAGTCAACCTGTCCCGGGTCTTCGGGCCCACCATCGTTGGCCATGCCGTGCCGGATCCGGAACCCTTACGGATGCTGAACGACACCAAACTCCAGCCAGCGGTAAGTCCCAAAATATTCTCTGTAAATCCCATTTTGATGTTATTGCAGTCTTTTTAACCCGTTACTCAAGTGAGCCTGGATGGTGATTGACATGTGGTTGACATGTGATCAACATGTGATTGTCACGTAATTGCCATGTGATTGAAATGTGATTGACATGCGATTGACATGTGGTTGACATGTGATTGACATGTGGTTGACATGTGATTGACATGTGATTGACTTGTGAAGACGTGACTTGAACTGTGACGTTATGATTGTAGACAACGTGCTAAAGAAACCCCTCAACGTTACACAAAATGAATCTTTCTTGTAGGTTGTGGATCGCCTGATATCGCTCCCCACCGATTTCTGGAAGGCGTTCGTCAACGTCGACACGGAGAACGCAGTGTCCGGTGACATGAACGTCATCCCCAACAGACACTTTGGCACCCCAGAGGCGCCATCAACAGGTTAGTACTGGCAGTCAAATCCTGCACTGATACAATCACGGTGAAGGTTTAGGACATAAAAAACACTACCTAAATCCACTAAAATCCATCTTCCGTATTTCTGGGATTTTAATTGCTTTAGTATGGCCCAGGTGCTTTGCACATTGTCCAAATTTCATTTTTATGTCCGGTTTTCGATTCTGTATTTTCATTGGCCGTCAACTATACGTGTCTATGAAAATGACTGTTCACCTCATATACACTGCATTGCAAATAAATTACCTCATATAAATCACCGAAAATTTTCTCCAGCTTCAAATCCCACCAACTTTTGGGAGCTAATGCTCGTCGTAGGTTATGTTAATTCACTATCGTGCATGCTTGTGTGTTTGTTTCACACACAATTTGTTGCTTTGTATTGTACTTTCAGCCGGGCACATTGGCATGCCGGGCTCACATCGGACGCCCGCCAGCGTGTACAAGAAAGACACCTTCAAGAAAAGTAGGGGCCGTGAAACGAAATACAAAGGGTCATCTCACACAAAAATACAAGAATGGAAAAAATTGATAAAAAAATCAAAAGGGTGTTAAAATACAGTAGTTAGTTTAAAAAAAAATTTTTTTTGTTATTATTAGTTTTTAACAAAAAATTGACCGAAAATTGTTCAGAATTTTGAAAACAGTCCAATAGTATATTGTAAATCATACTATGCATTTCAAAAAAAAGAAGAAGAAATGTAGATATGAAATGAAAAGTATTCAGGGATTCTCTGTACAACTCAAATTGTGAGCTGCTCCACTCAGAACGCATTTGCTTTTGCGTGAAGCAGTAGGGTCATTCCAGGCTCTCGCTCACAGTAAATCATACCCAATCATTTTCATTTGAGGGTTATTACATGATTACTGTTGATTATTTAAGGGCTTTTTTCCCTATCTGATTTCTTGTACATACTGAGATGACCTTGAAGAACCGTTTTTCCAATTCTCTTGCAGTTGCACTCTAGTAATTTAGAGCAAAGCTAATTCTGAGTTGTTTTGTTTTGTTTCTTTTGCTTTACTAATCTTTTCTTTTCCTCCATTTAGTTTGGTTTTTCTGTTACTTCTGTTATGTTTGCATTGAAATTCTTCAACTGCAGTGAAATCTCGATAAGTCAAACTCTGATAACTCAAAACAACCGTTTAGTCAAACAAAGAATCCATTGCCTTCAGTAGTATAACAATGATATACATCCACCCTGCTTAACTCATAACTCTGCTGAAGTCAAATTTTGAACCTGTTCCCTTGAGGTTTGACTCATCAAGGTTTCACTGTAGACTTCATTGTTCAGATAAATCATGCTGGGGTTCACCACTTTCCCCCGTTTTCTTATTTTACTCATGCTTTTAGAACATCTTATCACCATATGTTTCTGTTTACTGTTTAGCACTGTCAGCAATTTCTAAAGCACCAGACCAACATTTTAAAAAAAAATTATGGGTGAATCTTTCTTAAGGTGAACCAATGTTAGAACTGATTTGTTTGGCTTACATAGCAATGACAATGTTCTAATCCAGCTGCTAGGTGCATGTTGTGTCCTTGGGCAAGCCACTTTACTCCCACCAACCTCTCCCTACCCAGGGGCATAAATGGTTACCACGATCAGCTGGGGAGTAAGCTGTGGTGGACTGGCATCCCATCCAACTAAAGTGTTTTTTTAACACCCACAGCCATATTGTGTTTGAGATCAGATCTTGGCTGATGATCGAGAATTCCCCCCCCCCCCCAAACAAAAAAAATGTATTCAGCTGCTGAATTTCAAATCAGCAGTGAAACCAAGGGCCCGAGTTCTATGTTTTTGCACTGAGGATTTTTAAGAAATAGAAAATGTCCCGCTAGGACGCTAATTTGAAATTTGTCAAAACTTTTCTTTCTTTCTTTTGTCTCCATTTGCAGATGGCAGTAGTCGTTTTGGCCCAGTCCACACCCCCCAGACCCAGGGTAAGATGGGCAAGAAGACCCCCTCCAGTTCCTCCATCAGCAAGGCCAGGTCTATCTTCTCCAAGACTCCCCTCACCCCAAGGTAAACATTCCACACCGCTGTCTTTCGAAAACCCAGGTTTTTGTAATCACTTGTGACTTAATTGCCCTATCGCCGTTTGCGAGTTAGCCACACCCCTTAGACAACCCTATGGAATTTGTATATTGTGTAATTGGACAGTATTTCACAAGCTGCGTTTTTTTTGTTTTTTTTTCTTATTTACGAGAACCGTTTTGCAACTTTATTTTTGTTTACAGATTTGGCAGCAAGTCAGAGAACACGGTCAAGAAGACATCCCATTTCTTCGCATCACCAACACTGAGATAGGAAAAATGACTACCTCAGGTAAAAATAAAAGAGTAATCCAAATTACAGCGTAATATGCTTCCGTCTTTTTCCATCGGACGCCATCTTTGTCCGGTTTCCAGACTCTGTAATGAAGATCTGCGTGGTGATGGCTGTGGGTGCCAGGCTGAGTTTTTTTTTCACACAAGTCACATTGACTTCTTTGCGCTTGCACCCAAATGTAGATGTATGAATTTCCACGGAATGTTGAAAACCTTAAATACAGTACCGTAAATATGGCAAATTCTTTAAGCGTACCTTGAAGAACTTCGATTGTTCAGGAATGAATTTAGGCTCCAGTATTCCTTCCTTTTTAGGTTTGATTCAGTCATAAGCAAATCTGTTAATTTCTTTAGTAAAATATTATTATTATTTGTTTTGTATACAGGGAAGCAAAGTAAGAAATGCCAGAACCAGTAAACAATTTTTGAACATGTTTGTGTTTCTTTTGGGTTTTTTTGGGGGGGGGGGGGGGGGTTGGGGGTTGGGGAGAGTCAACTGATTTCACAGACTTGTCACCAATTTAAGTGACAACTTCATGTCTCTCTATAAATGGTGAAGTCCTATCAAAAGTAAATGTAGTTTTTTTTTTATCACATTCAAGCCTGCAGAGAATTGCTGGTCGTAAGCATAAATTGTTCAAGTGTTATGTTAATGTTTGATTACACTTTATTTTTTTTTTAAGTTGGGCGTTTTCCCTTGTTTGGGAGTATTTGCCAAGTTTCCATTCTAAATCGCGATCAGGCAACGGTTGCTCATAGTCTGGTGATTTCAAAGTTTAAAATGCGCCCAGCACGCGAACAAGTCGGTTCACCAGACATTCAAATTGATCCCTCAAATGATTTAGGCCAGTTGCAAACAGCAAACAGTTGTAGTGTGGTGTAAATAGCTTTTTTAAACGTAGTGGTAACTTTTCCAATTTCTGCTTCCAGTTGCGATGTTCAGAAAAAGGGATCGAGAAATATTGAGTAACTTTGTGGCGAAGAATGAAAGATTATCGTTGGATTCGAGATAACGTCATTCAAACTAACTGTAAATAGTAGTAAAATTAAGTCCTTACTTTGTATATACATTTAACAAGGGGTCATCAACATTTTTTTACACCGTTAAGCTTCATGTATATGTAAAGTGCAGAATAGATTTCCCACCCGATTCTTAAAATGGGGAAAAATGTTTTGTGCATTGAACGTCAACGGGCATTCAAATTTCAGGTTGTAATTCAGGGGGTTAAACGGAATGTTGTATAAAGCATTAGCTTTAGGGCTTTTTAGATCGGAGACAAAGTTTGGGGGTACAGTATATTGTCGGCAAAAAAAATGTGTATGCTTGTTTTTATGATTTATTAGTTTTTGCATGAATAAACGTCTTTAGGATTTAAATGAATACGTTCTTTCTTTTGTGTTTTGATTTTTGTCTTCTTTTCTGTTGTTTGTGTTTTTGTTTTGTTTTTTGTTGGGTTTTGTGTCAACTAAACAAAGTTTTGGGAGACGGGAACAAATAACAAGTCCTATATTCTGTATGACTGTAGACCAGTGACCGTGCACACCAGAGGCAATCGTGGGGTACTCGTACAAAGGGACAAAGGGAACGGTACCCCACAAGTGAAATCTTTAGAAAAAGGGATAAAAGAACAATGCTCCTACCCCGAAACTCCCATCCGCTGGACGTCTGTATCCCCATGTGTTAAAGTTTCAGTTCAGTTTTTAAAAAAATGTATAACTTCTACATGCATGCTTTCGTGGAATTTGACGAAACTTGGATGCAGTGACCCTTGGGTGGGAAGACAATTACTTATCGGATTACTGAGGTCAAAGGTCATGTAGGGGTCATTAGAGGTCATTGTTCAAATATACTCCAAAAGTTTGCCTACAGAATTTGGATGTTTAGTGTAGCTTGAATGGAGTGAAACTTGGGTGGGGGTTCCTCAAGTCTTCTGAAATTGGAGGTCAAAGGTCATAAAGGGGTCATTTGAGGTCATTAAAAAATGCACAAATACATGCGTTGACTTTTTTTAAGAATACAAAACATAATAGGGATCGACCGCGGAAAAAGGCGACGCATGCGGTCCGTGGACCACTTTTTTCCCCCCTATCCATGTGTGGGATATTTTTCATTCCACATTCCTCTCGTTTCTTTCCGAATAGTAAAATAACTACCAGTTTGATATTACCCTCAGAAGCCCCAAATTTTATTTGAAATCTTAGGTTGCTACCATCTGTTGTAAATTCTTTTTTGGGGGGGGGGGGGGTGATTAAATTTTAACGAACTCCACAAACATAAAAACACGGCCTACTCAGTTTTTAAAATATCTACTTGCTACAGAATTTATTACAGCAATGTACATGTACAACTATTTTAACCTGTCTTACAAAGGCAACCGGTATTACAATAATGTATTCATCTATCAGGTTTTTCGAAACCCCGACTCCATCACAAAGCTTTGGCTCAATCGCTGGCTGCACAATCATATTGAGTCAAAGCTGGATGTGATGCGGAGGTTTCAAAAACATCTTACGTTTAAAAGAGTGCTGCTTGAATCGTACACGTGTGCCAACAAAGTGCCAAACTGCTTGAAATAAGGCTATGTAACAAATGGTACATTGAAACAATAACATAAAGAATATACATGTACTTGCACATTTTTTTCAGAAAATCACAATATTTTTTGTTACAGTCCAAGTTTTTCAATGGTTAGGAATTCAAATATGTAGTTTCCAGGATGCGAAAAAAAAAGAAAAAGAAGGAAGTTAAATGCTTTAAACAAGGGAATAAATGTGTGCTCTGGAGGTTTTTATCACTCTGTTTAAGACCACTTAGAGTCTGGGTGCTGATAATTACCCGAGCCGGAGGCGAGGGTAATTATCAGCACCCAGACTCTAAGTGGTCTTAAACAGAGTGATAAATACCGACGGAGCACATATTTATTCCCATTCATAAATACCTTTTCGGTAAGAAAAAATCATATAATTCGTTCAGAAATCCCGATTTTGTTCAACAAATTCACTTTATGCTTTTTGAAACATCCCTCTTGCAAAATAATGGAGTGTTCAGCTGGCGAGTAAGATGTAAACAACCCTTTTATGGAGATTGACGCGTGCGTATCATGTTCTGCGCGATGTCGCACAGAACGTACCTGGCGCGTTGCGTTTTGAATATAGAACTATAAAATTCTGACTCCCTGGTAGTGTTGCGCATGCCTACGTGAGGATTGTGAAGGTTCAACCAATGAAACGATGAGGCACTGGATTTTTAGGAGTCCAAATTTTATTGTGACACTGGAAAAGTGTTTAAGACCAGCTAGCCATGTCTTTATCATCCGTTTAAGACCGGCCACGTGACGGGCTCTCGACCAGTAGGAATAGCTAAACTGTCTGAGGTATTTATGAATGTTATATCAATTAATCCGAGCTACAATGGAAAAGTTTCATTATTGCTAGTCTTTACTCAAGACGTATTTTATCAAATTGTTTCAACGAAGGGACAAGTTTTGCATTCCTCACCACACTTATTTGTCTCGGTAAAATTGAGTCTTGAATAAAGACCAACTTTGCACAGCATTATCACAAATTGCAATACTACAATCAAGAATCAATTCTAAACTGCAGTTCAACATTTTTTAATTGTATAGACTCAGTTGAAATTTGGCAACTAGGTGATTTCAGCGCACGGATCTCTTATAAATACAACCGATAAGAAATAGTTCGGAAAACTGAAATCAGGACCATTGTTATGCTGGATTCAAATTGCTTGGCTTCGACTGGAAATAACGCACAGGTCTATGGGAAGCGACTGCAGACCCTTCCATAGGCGAGTGTGTAATTTTCAAACGTAGCCAAATATAAATTCAGACACGGCCTTAGACTGTTTACCCTGGCAGCCATTGTAAAGGTCATCTGCCAAATCTGATAAGCCCCGCCCCTGGCCCATGTTTTGTAAATTTATAAATATTCATGAGATGGAGAGAGTGGGCGTGGCCAATAGAATAAGATACAGCACAGGAGTTTAAAAATCTCAAGATAAAAGGCAATAGAACAAGGCCAAGCTTCTGACAAGTTCGAATTTTTGTTATTAAAACAGGGAGCCTCACTTAACATAAGCGAATACATACAATACACAGTAAATCGGAACAAATGTTTACAACTAATAATATGAGTGGCAATTTCACCCTTTGGTTAATTTCATGGAAGTTGTTAAGCATGAAAAATTACTTAGCACGTTGGATGCCAAGCAACAAATTTGCTGGGAACCAGTGGCTAGCAAATACACATCACATGTCATTTTGGCCGGTTACCGGTTTTGCGGTAAGAATCTCTGTCTCATTGACCCAACCAGCACAATTGAAAACTTGCGACACGTAACGATTTTAAAAAGTTTCCAAAAAAAAATAATACGTCAAGAATAAACAAAAATAAGCAATAACTGTGAAACTGTTAGTCCAATTTCTAAATGATTAAGCAAGATGATAAACAAATGCATTCTCCCTCCTATTCAAAAAAATAAATAAATAAAATCCAATAAAATTGTTTAAAAATTCTAATTGAAACAAAGTTGTCACTATGCAATTTTATGTTACAGGAGTACAAGTTCAACAGTACAATGTACACCAACGGCAGTGCATAATTGTACCAAATGAGGTTTGATATATTTGGAAAATGAACTGGGTTTTTTTTATGACTAAAATTTTATTTTTTTGCAAAACCCACAGACTTTCAAAGTGGTCATTCTATTCCCAAATTCTTATATCAAGTTTCGTTATTGACAGCCTCATATATATATCAAACGAACAATAGCATTGATTTTTCCACATGCACAAAAAAATAATGTGACACAATTTAACCCCCCCCCCCCACTCCATCAAGGCCCCACCCACTTAAAAACACCTCTGAATTAAACCGAGGAATTGATCAGGCCATAGTTGAGCACATGCAAGAAATAATTAGCAAATCTTGTGTGTAGCACATGTCTATTTGAGACCCGAGCAGTGTCATTCATGAATTTTTTTTCAACAAAGTTAGCAAATTTGAAAATGGTTCTCCACATGATATACATGCGCACAGTCTAGTCAGAAGAAGTTGGGGTTAAAAATGGTGCGTTGACCAGGGACTGCAAGTTGGAACTCAAAAACCTGAATCAGACAACCCATTGTTCACTTAATTGTCTTTATACCATCAAGACAACCCCATTAAAAATGGTTTTGAAACCTTTTCATTACTAAACCAAAAAAAAAAAAATTGTTTTTCCCTGAATGGATGTGTTGCCTTTTTATTTATTAATTTTTTTCTTGAAAAAAAAAAATCTGATTATTCCGGCGGTGGTCACCTCCGAATCTGGTTAGCGATCCACTCCAATCCCTTGATTAACCTGAAAGAAAAAAATTAACATTTTAAAAATATAACCAACAAATCATCATCACGATATCACTTTTGATTTAGTATATGTGTACAGAGCACAGTCTTTCTAAATACCAAGTTTCAAGTCAAGATAGCCCACTATACACACACCAAGTTTCAAGACAAGATACCCCACTATTCACATACCAAGTTTCAAGACAAGATACCCCCACTATACACATACCAAGTTTCAAGTCAAGATAGCCCACTATACACACACCAAGTTTCAAGACAAGATACCCCACTATACACATACCAAGTTTCAAGACAAGATACCCCCACTATACACACACCAAGTTTCAAGACAAGATACCCAACAAAACACACACCAAGTTTCAAGACAAGATATCCAACTAAACACATACCAAGTTTCAAGACAAGAAACCCAACTATACACATACCAAGTTTCAAGACAAAATACCCAACTATACACACACCAAGTTTCAAGACAAGATACCCCACTATACACATACCAAGTTTCAAGACAAGATACCCAACTATACACACACCAAGTTTCAAGATAAGATACCCAACTATACACACACCAAGTTTCAAGACAAGATACCCAACTAAACACATACCAAGTTTCAAGACAACATACCCCCACTATACACACACCAACTTTCAAGACATGATACCCCAAAACACACACACCAACTTTCAAGACAAGATACCCAACTATACACATACCAAGTTTCATGACAATATACCCCCACTATACACAGTGTGCTGAGAACTTGGTACAGTCGACTCTCGTTAGTACAAACTCTGTTAATACAAATTCTGGTTATAACAAACAAAACCTTGGTCCCGACTGTGCCGCTATGTGCACAATGAATGGGACTGATGTTCCTCTTAATACAAAATTCTGATATAACAAACAATTTGGCTACATCCGAACGAGTTTGTATTTTTATACAACACCTGAATAAATCCCCGTCATCTGATTGGTGAATTGTAGATCACGTGACATATTATTATTCGGTATAATGCACGGTGCGACCATGCGTTATACCCATGCGTTATACCGTTTCACTTTGCGCTTGTTCCATGACGCGGTATTTGCATGCAAAATGCATGCTGGTGTGCGCGTTCAGCGCAGCGCGCATTGTTCCAAAGAGCCAGGGCTACATCGTTGGGTTCAAACATTTTCGTGTAGGGGTAGTTCAACATCTTTAAAATCAAAATAAATTGTAGTTTATAATTTACCAATCAAATGACGAGAATTTATTCAGGTGTTGTATAAAACAAATAACGAATGTTTTACGTTCGTGCGATGGAAAGAATAATTTCATTCGGTGACAGATTGAATGTTCTATTCCACTCGGCTTCGCCTCGTGGAATAGAACATTCAATCTGTCACCTCATGAAATTATTCTTACCATCGCACTCACAAACATTCGTTATTTGTATAATAACGAGACTCGACTGTATAACTTAGAGGCGCCCAAACATAAACAAACCTGGGAAAGCTGGTCCTAGACCAGTCTTAGTCGCAAGTGACACTCGGGGGGGGGGGGGGGGGGGGGGGTCAGTCGGGGAGTCAGTCAGTCAGTCAGGGAGATAGGTAACCCGTCAAAGTTTAGGGGAGACAGTGACTCAGTCATTGAGACACAAAGAGGGCTGGCCCTCTAAGGCCAGTAAAAATAAGGGTCCAGACAAATTCAACGACAAAAAATATCAAGGCTTCCTCACCCCTCGCCCGTGAGTGCACAGCAGGCCTGTATGTGCCAGTGGTGATCCTTAATGGAAGTCAAGTTCAATTGTTGGGAGATCTCTGCCGACGTCATCGACCCTTTCAGGTCTTGCTTGTTGGCGAAGAGGAGGACAGCCGCATGTTTTAAATCCTGTGGACAAATTTATGGGATTACGTTGATAAGAACATTTTGATATTCACTGCTTTTAAGTTGGATAAGTTGCTACGAGGAGAAAGGCAAATTAAACCCTCCTGGTCTTCTGCACTTCACAACCATCCAAGTTTTGCAAAGCCACTTTTGCCAATAGAGTTAGCACCCACACTTCAAGTTCCTGTGAAGTGTGGAGTACGGAAAGCACTTCAAATTCCTACACAGTACTTTTGTGTGGTTAAGCTCAGGGCAAGCAGGCAGATCTGGTCACGCTTCCATGCCCACCACAGTGCTGTTTTTTTGGTGCATTGACTCTCTGTGTGACAATAACACAACATATCCCTTCACCCGAATCTGACCTGCCGGGTTTTTACATTTGTTCAACATACTGCTCTATACTCTCCAAATGGAATTTCAATGTGAGGTGACTCTCTTTTGAAAGAAGGGAACTCTTAACGATTCATGGCAATGGATGTGCATGCAAGGGCGGTGTGACTATCTATATGCTGCACTGTGCGTCTGCACATGTACATGTTTACATGTAAATACACCTGTTACTTTAATGTTTTCATCATATTAAGCATACCTCATTGGCTAACATGACATAGAGTTCTTCTTTACTGACGTGCAACCGCTCCCTGTCTGTGCTGTCTATGACGAGTATTACAAACTGAAAGAGAAGAACAAAAAATTAATAAAAAATCCTGTCATTGTTGGAAGACCCAAAAAACCTCAAAATTTCAAGACCCAAAAAACCTCAAAATTTCAAGAACAAAAAAATCTTGTTTAAAACAAGATGCGATAACAAAAGGTAGAAGTTGATATTTCCATTGTCACTTCATTATTTGAAGGAACTTCTGCCTGTGTCACTACTTACACTCTCTACCAAAAATGGACGAAGGCTCGGTTAATAGCATACAATTTTGCACTTAAAAGCCAGGATTAGAGTCATGATTTACGGGAGTCAGGTTGGCGCGATGGTTTCTTTCGTCGACTTCAACCTCTATGGCCTGGGTTCGATTCCTGCCCTGGTCACATGTGGATTGGGTTTTCAGTCCCTATCTCATTCCGTGGGTTTCTCCAACGAATATTCTTCTGGGATTTTCCTCCCACCTCTAAAACTGCAACGTCTTTTAATTGTCTTGGTTTCTTCAGGCTTGCGAGCTAACAGGGCAATACTAGAAATATAATAATAATGATTGCATGGCCCAATGTCAAGGACTTCCAAATCAAGAAATTTCATAGCAAGTTTTCTGAGCTAAGCAAGTATTAGCCAAGAACCAGTAAAAAGCAGTAAACAATGCACTGTTATTTTTCCCAGCTATCAGGGTTTTTCTGGTACGCAAATATCTTCTGTTCTTAGCAGTTCCATGGAAATTTGGTTATGGTACAAGTACTCGTATAGTCGAAAGATTGTGATTTCATGAAATGACTTACTTCAGTGCCGGCGTAGTACGTGCCCCACGCTGACCGTAGCGATTCCTGTCCCCCTATGTCCCACATCAAGAAATGTATGTTTTTCCATTTCACCTCCTCCACGTTGCTGCCTATCGTGGGCGACGTGTGGACGACTTCGTTCATTAGACTACAAATGAAAGCATACAAAAATAACGACAAAATGTAAAGACCTCTCCTTATTAATGGGTCTCTTTAATTAATATTCATGTCTAGAAATACATCTGCAAAAAGCAATGGACTTTTATACTCAATTTCAAATAAACTGATAAGGATCTTTCTAGCCTGGAATAAAAGTGTCACTTACATTTGGTATAAAATGGTTGTCTTGCCGGCATTGTCCAACCCGACGATGATGACTTTGTGCTCTGTAGATGAAAAGAAGTCAACCATAAAAATATCGATATGGTTGTACACACAAATTGACCTGCAGGGATACAAACTTGAAACTTGGTAGGTACATGTACAATGCTAGTCTGGTGTTCTGAAGGTCGCAGGTTCAAATCCTGCTACAGTAAATTTTCCTTGTTCAACATTTGTGTAAGTGGGATTCGAACTTGAAACTTAGTTGGTACAGGTCTGGTTTAGTGTTCTGGATAGTGCATGTTCGAACCCTGAATAAGTTAAATTCTTTGTTCAACCTTTGTGTAAGTGGGATTCGAACTTGAAACTTAGGCCAAGTTCGGGCAAGGACCATTTGTCGACTAGTGGTTGATTTGTGACGTACCTTACGCCTGCGCACTAATAGCAAAGTGCGAACGTCTCTAGTCGAACGCTGGTCAAAATGTCATTGCAAAACGTCTGGATCCTGGCTCCCTGCTGTACGTTATGAACGCGCGAGGCTACGATTACCAGCGAAGCAACCAACCCCAGTAGGTTGGTTCCAAATAGTCGACTAGAGTAGTTAACCATCGTCGACTAGACAGAGTTCGGGCAAGCGTTAGTCGACCAATGGTTAACTATAGTCCTTGCGCGAACTTGCCCTTAGTTGGTACAGGTCTGGTTTAGTGTTCTGGATAGTGCATGTTCCAACCCTGAATAAGTTAAATTCTTTGTTCAACCTTTTTGTAAGTGGGATTCGAACTTGAAACTTAGTTGGTACAGGTCTGGTTTAGTGTTCTGGATAGTGCATGTTCAAACCCTGAATAAGTTAAATTCTTTGTTCAACCTTTTTGTAAGTGGGATTCGAACTTAAAACTTGGTAGGTAGAGCGCTGGTAAGGTGTTCCGAAGGTCGCAGGTTCAAATCCTGCTAAAGTCAATTTTCTTTGTTCAACTTTTATGTCAGTGGGATTCGAACTTAAAACTTGGAAGGTAGAGCGCTGGTAAGGTGTTCCAAAGGTTGCAGGTGGGCAATTCCACGGTAACGGAAGGACGTTTTCACACATTAAACAAAATTTCAAATGTGTGTATCACAGACACTGTTCATAGTTACAGCAAACAAATGTCACAATTGTATTGCTATAATGCTACTTTCATTTTCCACACTTTGGGGGGGCATGAATGCCTCCCGTTTATGAATTATGAATATTAATGAGGTCGGTAACGGAAGGACGGTAAAACGGACAAGGGTTTTCCAACTTACTCGCGTTTTGCGTAAACTCTGTGAATTTTATGGGGCAATTATATTTTAAAGGTAAGAAATGGAATCCCTGAAGCTTTATCCATACTATACCGCCTTTCATTTGACTTTAAGTGTTTCGGTAATATAATTACAACGTTTTAAGCAGATTATGATTTGGTAACGGAAGGACGGTAACGGAAGGACAAAAGGTTTACTCAATGATAGCATGAACAAAATGTGAATTTACACTAATTATACAAGTGAAACAAATTGCTGAAATGTGTAACTGGATGTGAAATCAACAATATGCAGACCTGGCATAAATAATTATTCCCAAGAAACTATTGAGATAAAGAGAGAAGCCTGCTAATTAATTATAACAAAAGAAAAACGCAAACCACCCAAAACACATAATTCACGAACACAAGACAACTACAGAAATGGACTTCAAACCCATCACCTCAATCCTTAAAAGTTTAAATACACAGTTTTTGAGCTCTTGAGTATATTGGTTGCATGTTCACCAACAACTTTTAATAATAATACTGGTAGGTTCAGTGGTTTACCTAAAAAGTGGGGGGGGGGGGGGGGGGCGACCAGCCTACATGTGCATTTAAGGTAAAAACATCTACCGGTAGAACTGATGGCTTCAGTTAGGTTTTGCTTTTAATTGAACTCCAAAATCAATGTTTGAAATCAAATTACAATGATTTAGAGTAGTAACAATAAAGTTATAAACATCCAAACTGAAATTGTTAACTTGGGCATAATTTGTCAAAGATTGCACCTCACATGTCTTACACATGTAAATTGAATGAAAGTGCCCCAAAGTACCGGTACTTTCTGCCATCTCATTTTTGACTTAATTTGCTTCTGGAATGGCTACACAGAATTGGTATCTTTCTCTATTGTCCATGAATGCTGATGGCAGCAACTTTATGATTTGATTTTCTGCAACAACTCCATACATGTACAAGTACTGGTACATCGGCATATATGTACATGTACATTGTACATGTTGTACATGCCTGTGCCTTCCTTTGTAATAAACACCTTGCCCTGCTTATCCTGCTTTTGTGAAGGTGGGTCACATGAATGTCCTTTCAATGCTCATTATACATGCATGTATTTGCAGTGATTTTCATTTTTCAAACATGAGCGCAAATGTCGTAACATTTGATAAAAATACGATTTGTCCTTCCGTTACCGTCCTTCCGTTACCAATTTGGTAACGGAAGGACGTGATTTAACTAATTGTAATTAAAAAACGAGAAGTACAGCAGTGTCAGTTATAATGTCATATTGAAGGCCTACCTAAACTTGCTTTGCACAATAACTTTCAATGCATTCATACTGCAAGTTTTAAAAATAAATTAAAAATATGTATTTTTTCGGTAACGGAAGGACATTTTCGAAGGCTGAAATATTAGAAGTCACTGAAGCGAAGCAAATTACGCAAAATGTTAAAAACAAGTTTTAGTCGGTTTTTCAAGACCAATACTTTCTCATGACAGAAACTGATGGCATTAGTACATATTTTTGTGTGTGTTTTGGTAGAATACTTTCATATCACTATTAATCACATTTTTAGGATTAAAACAGGATTATTACATAATCCTATTTTTTGGTACCGAAATGTATAAAAAATAAAATTCCGACTTCAAATCTTGAAAATATAGACTTTTAGCTTTCATTTGATGCCAAATTTGTTTAAGTCACATGTATTTGAATTTTTTGGTGTCATGTCCACTTTGGTGTGGAATTGCCCAGGTTCAAATACTGCTAAAGTCAATTTTCTTTGTTCAACTTTTATTAGAGTGCAATTCGAACTTGAAACTTAGTTGGTAGGGGGCTGTTTTGGTGTTCTGAAGGTCGCAGGTTCAAATCCTGCAACAGTAAATTTTCTTAGCTCAACCTTTGCGTAAGTGGGAACCAAACGTGAAAATTGGTACCTGTAGGTACAGCGCTGGTTTGGTTTTCTGAAGGTCATGGGTTCAAATCCTGTTAAAGTCAATTTCCTTTGTTCAACCTTTATGCAAGTGGGATTCGAACGTGAAACTTGGTAGAGCCCTGGTTTGGTGTTCTAAAGGTAGTATATTCAAATCCTCTTCCGGTCAATATCTTTGCTCAACTGTATTGAATCATTGTGAGGTTTTAAAAAAGATATTACATTTGTTGAAATCTCACCTTCGTTGTTAAAAAGACTCCAAATCTTGGAGAACAGAAACCCCATGGCTTGTTGGTGCTTGGGTCTTGGTGTCTAAAAAATATTGAAAAGAAATTCAATGTGATTAAAATACAGACAATGATAAGGCCAAAAAAAAAAATATTTGGTCTCTGGTCAGACCAAAGTTCCGGAATTGACGCGGCCACGCAGCTTTTTTTTTTTTCTTCAAGCTTCATTGTACAGACAAGGTGGGTACTATTTTGCTTTTTTGGTGTCCTCATGTACATTGGTGTCCTCCATAATTTGCCTTGGTGCTTTCGATCATTTGCCTTGGTGCAATTTCCCATTCCTTGGTGCTCTTTGTTAAAAAAAATTGAGGAGGTGCGGAAATAGAGGGCGCTGTTGGAGCAACCGCGGAACATTTTGGAGAAAAAAAAATATCGACGCGCATGATTAAAATCGACGCGCGCGCTGACCAGAGACCGACTTTTTTTTTTTTGGCCTAACAAAGAGCTATCTAACATCATCATAAGAAACCGGAATTTGTCCAGAAATCAATGCATCACAGATGAAACATACATTGTACAGAAAACAAGTATTTCATGTTAACAGTACACCAAGTAACTGGACGATTAAATCCGTGCTCCTTTTAAGCATCTTCCAAGTTGTTTTTCAGAAGTTGAATATGTACATGCATGCACCTACACTTTCTAGGAATTTTTGCTAAAAGCCTTTCCAAATCCTGCCAAATTAACAACTGTAGGAACATGGAATATTTCTTTTTCTTTGTACTTTAGCATTAAAGGGACCCTTTGTGATGGACACAGAAGTTTATACACTGATGAAAAATAGAGTAGTGCCCCTTTAATGTTTATCAATACAATGCTTCCACCTGTCTCTTTAATTACATCCTGTATGTTTGTTTATATTTTCCAATCTGGCAGAAAGGTAGCTTCCTCCTTTGACAGAAGGAAATGTTCTGCAGTTTCCTTCGTCAATGTTTATTCAAACTGCCGGCTACCTAGACATCACGGATCATCAGTAACTCAGGTGGGCAATCCCGCCCACGCTCTTGTTTTTTTAACCTGCCGTTCTCAGAAAACAAGCTTCTTGATTTTGTTTTGCCACTGCATTTTACTGAATACAGAAAAAACACACGGTACACATCATATTACCGTAAAGGAGTACGTGTACACTGCACTTACAAGTGGTTTTGGATTTATGCGCATGTTATGGAGAGACTATGCATTTATGCAAATTTATGCAAGTTTGAACGACATTCACTCCGCTCATCCATGTCAGGGCTGAATGGATTACAATATATTTCTTATTCAATTCAGGGGTTTCTTATTCAATTCAGGAATTTCAATGAAAAAAATGGATTATCAACTGACACGCATTTTTTTAAAACTAAGTTTATCATATATTTCCAGAGCACATTCTGTGTGCTTTATTTTCAAGATGACAGTGGATGGGCTTTACCTTCTCAGTCGCACAAAACTCATCAAAATCTTCAGATGGATTTTCTTTTAAATGTCAAGGAAGATAAGAGTAGTACATATCAGGCACGTAACTTAGAAGTAACACACAAAGAAGAGGAAATGCCAAGCTTTCCAAGGCTTTATATGTGGGTTTTTTTTCTATTTTTTTGCTTTGCTCTGCACCAAAACTGTGAAAAACCAAGTTTCGCTCTCTTTTTTTTGATACTGGGTTTTGCTCAGCATCAACATTTCGCTTATCACCACCCCCAGCAAAAATTCCTTCAAACAAGGCCAAGTTTCTGTTATCATATCATCAAATCAACATTCTTCACATCCATAATTGGCAGCTAACCTTGACCCGGCTGTGCCACTCAATTTTCCTCTTGTAGTTGAGACGGACCACTGCATGTGCAAAAAGTAACCACTGACCTCCCCATGATCTACAAGTTCAATTCTGGCCAACTACACTTCCTCAAATTCTGACTTTTGCCATTATACACATAGAAGCCATGACAATTGACAACATTGCAAAAGTCAAGGTCATTTTCTTCATCAAAAATTTGCCAATCTGCAAAGGTAATCATATTTTAACCATACATGTAGAACAAAATCAAAGGCTCGTGTGTATTCCTGATAACCTAAATTCCTGCAAAACTAAATACTTCGCATAGTAAATTAGAATTAGATTCAACATCCACAAACTGGTCTCTGTGTCAAGTCCTTTTTGAAATTAATAAAAAAAAGTTCAGCAAATCAGCATAGCAATCCCAAGAGTCTTTGATATTTTTAAAATTTTATCAATGAAAACAAATTATTAGTGAGCAAACAGATAAAACAATCCTAGAATATATTTTTTTCAACAATTCAAATGAAAATGGTTATTTTTGCAATTTTGAAATCAAACATGTGGTTTATTTGTACATATTTGATTTCAGCACAGATATTAAAAAACAAAAATTGGCTGTCAAGCTTTCTGGGTGATCAACCTTAAAATGTCAGAACGATTTTAATGAGTTTTTGGGGGGACGGCTTAATAAGGAAGCCATGTCGTTATTACATTGGAGTGGGCATGGAGGCTTTCATTTATGGCCAGGTGTTCTCTAGTGCTGTGTGGGCTGCATAATTTCGAGACACCTCAGAACGAAGAAAATTCCAAAATCGCAAGAGAAAAAAAATCACCACTGGTCGATTGCTCTTTGAAGCAAGGCCACTGATTACTACAATGTTCATGTACTATAAAACTACGACCATTGTCGCACCCCCAGTTTCCACAGAGATTATAAATTTCATATCTCTCACCACACTGACTTCATCACAGTGAAAACAACAACAAAATGTTCATAGTTAAAATAAACAATTTTGACTTTCAACAGTTCCTGCTCAAATGCAAAGTTGGTAGTGTTGTCAGTTTTATACTGTCTACTGCAAACCCTTTACCAATGCAAATTGAGAACATGTGCCCCCTTTGTTTTATTTCTAGACTCCGCCCCTGACTTTTGTACTTTAATTCTTTTGGGGCATGAAGCTGTACAAACAGCTGGGTTAAAACAGGGGAAATCAAGTGTGAGTGCAACGGGAGTATGGGGCACATTATGTGTAGAAATAGATTGCATTCTCTGAACCACGATTTACAAAATGTACATGTACAATGCAGGCCTACACAGTGATTTTTCACACTGCATGACTTTTGCTTTATAATACTAGTAATTTCCACATTATTTCAAATGTGTACACATACAATGTGTGTGTAATTGATTTAACTTCCGATTTTATACAGGGTAATCACAGGCAAATGAAAGATCGCCCTCTGCTTAATTTAAAATCAGACCCTTTAGCTTAGGAATGGTTCAAGTCTGACTTGTTCAAGTTTGACTTGTTCAAGTTGTTGCTTCGTCTGTTCAGGGCCATACACCATAATAATACAAGTAATCCAGAATCAAGACTAACACTGATGTAATCCTATTAGAAGATAGTAGGACTTATTATTAATTATGTAATGGACCACGTGGCATGAGCTTTTAAATAAACACTGTATTGCTGACAAGTAGGAAATGTACATGTAACTGTTGCACTTTCAGTCAGGGATCTAACTTCAAACATTAAACCAGTATGACATTTTGGACCCTGGATGACAGAGGGCAATGGGGCTAACGTGTTGGGAACCCCCCCCCCCCCCCCCCCCGCCACCCCCATCCGAGAACCTGTGGTTCAGGGATGCTGACTCGATGATCATGAATTCCAATGGAGACTTTCGAGACGTTGATGACAGCAAAAAACCCAGTCCTTTTCAATTGTTTACATCATTTGTTAAAGCTAAAGCTCGCATACTCAATATGACGCAAACAATGGAAAAAGGGCCGGTGTGTTTGCTGCCATCACCGTCTTAAAAGTCCCCATTGTTTTATTCAGTTTTACTTCACTGTCTTGATAAAGTCATGGAGGAAGTTGCCACGATAAAGTAAATCCCCCCTCCCCCGTCTTTTTTCTGGACCCACCCCTGAAGGGGGAGGAGCCACAGGGGGCAGAGGAGTAAAAAGGGTCACTGATGTCATGGTCGGATGTAGAACAAAAGGAGACAAATCTCTCGTCTCCCGAATCACAAAAAAATAGTCGGGAAAAAAGTGTATTTGTTAAGAATAAGAAGCAGAGCCTATTTCTGGACAGGATTTTCTTAGTCATTCTTGTTTTTCTTCCATCGTGTCTAATGACTTGGCATAAAACAAGTAGGGTTACATAATTATGATGACAAGCATGACAAGCTTGGCGCCTTGATTTCGCATTTTTTTCCCCGTGATTTGTTTAAGTGATTTGTTTAAATTTTTGTTATTTAAGTTATACGTGACAAGTGAAACGATCTACACGTTTACAATATCAACCCATTCACGTCATTTTTTATTCTTTGAAATGTATTTTTCTTAATACAATTACAACATACGAAGCCAAACGGCATGACAGGAAAAATGGTAAAAACAAAAATGACGAAATAGTATCCGGAAAGATTCCCATATCTGGCCATCAGTAATTTTTCCCTAAAATGACCATCAGAAAATGATGTGATCATGTCCTAAAAAGTCAAAAATTAGCAGGGATTTTCAGACCAATCACATAGGTTTTTGCGGAATCTATCCTACTGCCTCTGTTGTTGTTTAAATATGACAAAATCAAAATGAAATTTTACCAGAAACAAAATAAAAACACACAATATTGGGACAGAAAAAAAATTATTGCAAAATTCAAGATAATACTTTGAAAATGTTCATTATGAGGTAGCTGGAGTTACCCAGTCCTGAGTTTTATCATTGGGTTGTCATCTAGGGCTGGAGCGCATTTTTCTCAAAACTTGTAGTATTTGCAAAAAAAATTTGGAAAATGTTCAATTTTGTCCCCGTTACACACTAATTGCAACTGCAACTCACCCCAAACTTGCCTGGAATAACCATTACACAGGTCCTTGAAGTCAAAAACGATCCACGATGAAGATTCAGCCTACAATTGCAGTGAAAACAGGAGGAATAACCGCTAACTTGACAACCTTGCTGGATTGGCCAGGACCGCTATTGGTTTGTGCACAAAAAAAATTGTGTACAATGAATGGCGGTCGATTAACAGGCACAGAGAGCGATCGCTGTCAACTACTCGTTTTCGCCGGCTGCGCTGGCTGTTGGCGCGTGACGTCACGCGGAAGCGTAACACCCGATGACTGTTTCATGCACTAGTATAAGGTTTACCACTCGCATCACAGCTTTGGTACTGGAACCGCAACCAATAGTGCATGAAACAGTCATCGGGTGTTACGCTTCCGCGTGACGTCACGCGCCAACAGCCAGCGCAGCCGGCGAAAACGAGTAGTTGACAGCGATCGCTCTCTGTGCCTGTTAATCGACCGCCATTCATTGTACACAATTTTTTTTGTGCACAAACCAATAGCGGTCCTGGCCAATCCAGCAAGGTTGTCAAGTTAGCGGTTATTCCTCCTGTTTTCACTGCAATTGTAGGCTGAATCTTCATCGTGGATCGTTTTTGACTTCAAGGACCTGTGTAATGGTTATTCCAGGCAAGTTTGGGGTGAGTTGCAGTTGCAATTAGTGTGTAACGGGGACAAAATTGAACATTTTCCAAATTTTTTTTGCAAATACTACAAGTTTTGAGAAAAATGCGCTCCAGCCCTAGATGACAACCCAATGATAAAACTCAGGGCTGGGTAACTCCAGCTAATTATGAGGACAGAAAAGTGGCATTTTAACGCCACATCCTCTCCCTATGGACATTAAAACAAGATTTTGGTATACTATTCAATTAATTAAAGTAAACTTCTTGTCTTGGACGTTCTTCTTGTTGGATGTACATATGTACAGTATGTGTGTGCACGCTCGTCGTAGTCGTACGCCTATCCGCGCATGGCTGTCATGCAGTGCCTTTGTATTGTCAATGCAGAGAAAAGGGCAAAAATCTGGTCAACTTACCGGGAAAATATCTCAACTTCTCCGACACTGTCACTGAAATATCGCAGCTAGAATCCTTCCTCACGTCACTGTACTCATGGGGAAGTTATTCAATGATTCCCTAAGTGGCTAAAAGTGGAAGTATTTGCAGAAATTATGTCACGGTGTTTTCCCGAGTGAAACAGATGACGTGAAAGCTGTCGTGTCGGAGCTTCGGAAGTGCACGCTAAACGTGTATAGCGCCACCAATCGGGCGTGCGGCATTTGTGACCATTGTATTTTTTGATACAGTGTCCACCATATGCCAAAACTTGGTCAGGTCATGTTTTTAGTTTATGAGCCCATCAATGTGATAACACACATAATTTTGAATATTGAGTTGTAGCTTTAGTTTTGGAACGAGACTATTCAATTGCTTTTGAAGGAGGGAAGGGGGGGGGGGGGGTTAGAACATTAAGGGCCAGCAAAAACAGTCCATATCTTGGACAGAACTCAGAAGTTAAAAGATCCAAGCCATTATATCAAACCAGAAAACCCAAACAAGCTTATAAAACAATATATCAAATTCAAAACAACTACTCTTGTCAGTCACATTTTTTATTCATCAAAAATATATTCAACCAGTTTCACTTGACACGACCTTGAAAAGCAACATCCATGATCCTGTTATTTACTTTTAAGAAACACGCTACAATGTTTCTGCGAAAAAAAACCCAATCATTCATACTTTCAAAATTTTAATTCTGTCAAACCTTTATTTGTTTACACAGATTGTCTGTCCTAGTATTGCCTCAACCAAGATTTTCAAACCGTATGCTGAATGCATAATGAAAAAGTCTACTATCAATTTGAATAGTTTCAACTTCGGTAGGCTACTGCCTATTTAGCATCTGTTCTGGAATCTGAATCTATAATCTTATCGTCTTTGTTCTTTTGTTGCGGCTTGATTTTAGGAACTGGTGCATTTGGGTTCTGCCCCCTGTAGAACTCCTTCAAGAGCTGAACCGCTCGGTCCTTGAAAACTCCCGGCACGCATTTGAACGTTTTCCCCATGGATGGGATGTCGTCAGAGTGGACGCTCAGAACCGAACCACAGCCTCCAAAGCGCTCATTAGCGCAGCCGTACACAACCGAAGGGATACCAACGGCCCGCAGGGCGCCAGCGCACATTATGCAAGGCTCCACGGTCACGTACAGTGTGGTATCGCGAAACACTTCCTCCGTCCTGGTGCCCCTGTCCTCGCACCAGCGAATAGCGCCCTCTATGGCGATCAGCTCGGCGTGCCTGGTGGCGTTCTTGGTCTCGTTGACCCGGTTGTTGCCCGTGGCGATGACCTCGTCTCTGTACACAAGCAAACAACCTACAGGAACCTCTCCGCGGTCTAAAGCAGCCACTGCATAGTCCATTGCCTCATTCATCCATCTTAAATGCTGCTCCGAAATTTCTGATTCCGCCATGATTTTCACCCAAACTTCCAGAATACTTAGATATAGAAAATTTCAGGCACCAAATTTCAAACACATAAGCACTTGAGTACTTTTATGTCATTTTATACCTGAAAGTATATTAATTTAGGCTTTTGTTTAATTTGAGAGAAATTGGAAAGTTAGGAAAGACTTGAGGCAAGACTAACAGCAGCGATGTATCAATAGTCTTCCTTTAGAGTCAATAGGGTTGCGTCTGAACGGTAGTCTCATTCACAGTTCATTTGGAGATCGAGTTCTCCTCTTGTTTCTTCTTGTACCAATGCTCAAGGAAGTCGAGGTAAACCTTCTTTTGCGGAGACGATGCTGGCACAAAATGGCCTGTGAATGGAAGGGAAAAAACGAAAAATAATTTTGTAGCATTTACTGAATTACCAGGCAGACAACTTGTATTCAATTCATGGTATATCAACACAACATATTACAACAAAACGGGTAGGGAACAACAGCCAAAATCGCGAAACTTTACGCAATTGTGCAACTCCACTCGCGCCACAATTTATTGCGTAACTTGCACAACATTTCACCCTGCACAACATTTTAGTTGTGATACATTTCGCGAAAGTTTCATAGTGTGTAAGACCCCAACTTGCGCAACAAATCATTTTAGGTGGTGTAGGCTGTGGCGAAGTGACTGAACATGACCGATTTTACTGGCAAATTGTGATCGTCGTGGAGCCTGTCATTGCATAACTGATCAAGGTTGATACAGGACAATCAGATCTTTGTGTTTGATGTAAATGAATTGTCATTTTACTTGTAACAAGAATTTTTAGAGTTGCCACACGATTCCAAAGAAAGTTGCACAAAACTGAAAATGGCGGACAGAGGTGATTCATCGAATTTTTTGTGACTGAAAATACTGTTACTATCCTCGTCCAAAATATTTAAATTATTTATAACGCTACGCAGCTATGCCAAGTTTCATGAAATTGATCGTATTTTATTGCGCAGCTGTGCAACAAATTTGTTGCACAAGTCCTACGTATGACATAAGTTGCGCAATGTTTCGTGAAATCGGCTGCAGTTGGTTGTCTCGTTATTGGGTAATCTCAAAGCAGAATACAATGAAAAAGTCCTATACGGGCAAAAGTTCACAGCATAAAGAACTATTCTGTTTTTTCCCCCATTTTATACAGAGACTTTTACCTGCATGTGCAATCACTTTAACAATTCAAGCAGCAAAACACGCTTAAAGGTAAGCATTAACTTCCTGTTATAAGTTAGCACAATTATATTAGCTAATTGTTAAGTGGCGCTTTTACTGTTTTATTAAATATCATTAACCAAAACACGACAACATACCGCCTGGGTGATTCAGAACTTGTGGGTTGACGAACAGTGGTAGTAAGCCTTCACTTGATTCTAAAAAAAATAATAAATTTACACAAAATCAGTCAACTTACAGATCCCTAAAAAGAAAAAGGGCTAACATTTGAAATGATCCGACTATGCTGAAACAAAGTTGTTGCTTATGTAGCCGTTTCCACCAAAGCGAGGTCTAAATGTGCGTCACAATTATTACCCCTGTTCATCAGGCCATGAGACTACTCTTCCGCAGCCGAGATCGGGGAATTGTGGTCTCTACCCTCACAGGTACCCATTTATACTCCTGGGCGGAGAGAGGCAATTGTGGTAAAGTGTCTTGCCAAAGAACACAAGCACCATGTTTTCCCGCGTCAGGCTTCCAACCCATGTACCATGGGTCGAACACCATAACAACAACTGGACCATGTCATTCCTCACACAGTGTTTATTGGCTTTGTGCATGACCAGTTGAGGGCGGTATACAGCCTACCCATGAGTGCGTAAACGAAATCCTTCTATTCAAACTGTACATTCGCTCTTTGAGCAAAATTGCCACACTTCAAGAAAAAAATCACATGTGGTGTGCCTCCCCCACTGGAATCGCACAAATGGACAAATAGCGCCCCCTATGGTTCATTCACGGAGTTCGTAGTTTGTGAACGACAAATAAAAAAGACAAAAGTTGAATTCTTAATACCTTTTGGAATTACGCCGTCCGTGTCGCCAAACACGTGTAACGTCGGGCAGTCGATCGGGTTGGCGTAAAAGGCAGCGTGGCTGGAGCTCAGGCTGCGAAAGCTGGCGACTAAGACTGCAAACTTGAAAGGAAATCTGGTATCTAGGGATTAGAAAAGGGAAAAAATACATCTTATTTTGTTATTGCCTCGTTTCGGCTCAAGCAAAGTTTTGTGCAATGGGGTAAAAATGTAGAACAGCTTATATACACTTATTTAACAGCTCAGGCCAAGTTTTGTACAATGGCCTTAGAAAGTAGAACAGCTTATACAGAAGATTTTACAGCATCTAAACCCCCCCCCCCCCACCAAAAAAAGAGAATAATATAAAATAAGGTAATAAATAAAAATATAAATTTGAAATTAAAAAAAATCTTTCACTGTTTTCTTACACCAGTCATTGGAATCGCAATGTGCACATTTTTACTCTACTAGAAGATTTCTATCATTTGGTTTTGATATTAAGGGAAAAAGATTATTACACAATTCTCACCTCCCTGGCTTTGCAATGCACAGAGTATCGCTGCAAATGCCGCTCCCTGACTGAAGGCAAGTACACCTATTCCAATGTAAAGAAAAGAAGTTTTGGTTACATAAATTGAAATTAAAATCTTGTTGCAGAATTTTGGGCAATTTCAGGTAGTCACTGCTTAGGGTTGAATATACGGCAAGGGTACTACCACGACGTGGCATAAACACTGCCCTCTATTGACTGGCAACTTAGAATTAAGCGAAAGGTTATGGACGACGCAGTATTAGTGGGTCGAATTGCCCCATTAGCATTTTTTTATATTATTAAATTCCACGTAGCCTTACCGTCAAAGGGCCCAAGTTCCTTGAAGGCTTCAGCTACCGTGGTCAGAGATTCCTGCAAACCGGGGTCGACTTCGCAGGCCTGGCTGGCCTTGAAGGTGTGGTCGGTTGTCGAGAACCACCAACCTCTTTGGTCTTACCAAAAACACGAGCAAAAAAACAAAACAAATCATGGTGGCTTGAAACTGTTAAAGAGACGTCCCGATGACCATTTCGTCAGTGCGCCAACAACCGAGGGCGCTATTAAACAGTTAAATTTTATAACATCAGATTATATTTTTCAAATTGCGATTTTTAAGAATGAAGCTTCGACTACCCACGTTTAACGTTATATTTTAAGTAAAAGTTAAGTTAAATTAGCTGATGTACGATATCTTGGTTTTGAGGAATTTTCGTTGAATCTGAAGGTGAACAATTCGTCATATTTCTTCAGATCAGTCCTGTAAACTGTTTCTGACCCTCAAGCTTACCTAAATCCTCTTCACCCTCGGCCGGCTGTACTTTGTTCGGAGCTGAAATGAACACTGCAACAGTGATAGAGACATGACAAATATTAAGAACTTGAAAATAAAATAGAAAATGACCTTGCTCACAAACAAGCACTTTTGAAATATGCATCAGACACACTTTTTTTTTGGGGGGGGGCCCGGGGGGGTACTTTTTTTGATTGAAGAAAGACAATGTATTGGCATTAGTACCTTCTGAGTTTCACAAATTTACATAAAATTCTGCTCACCCAGCTCTGTGTATTTCTTTATGATTTTCCTGAGGGCTCCGGTCCTCTCTCGGAAGATCTGGGCATTTTGTCTGGCGACTAAGACTGCAAACTTGAAAGGAAATCTGGTATCTAGGGATTAGAAAAGGGAAAAAATACATCTTATTTTGTTATTGCCTCGTTTCGGCTCAAGCAAAGTTTACATAAAATTCTGCTCACCCAGCTCTGTGTATTTCTTTATGATTTTCCTGAGGGCTCCGGTCCTCTCTCGGAAGATCTGGGCATTTTGTCTGTAACCATGGATACACAGAATCTGAAATTAAAAGCAGGGGAAAGCACACTGAGTGACGATTAGATTTGGCCAATAACCAACCGACGTTCGGAACTTTTGAAATTTTAGGTTTTTGACGTGATGTCATTCCGTGAAGTGTGATAAAACGCTGACTCAGTGACTGATATTCCATTGGCTAGTCGTCCCTATAATTTATAAAAAAAATATTTTACCGACCATAACATTATTGTTAATGCTTTCTCTGAAATAATTCTGCATATTTTTTTTACATTACTCCCATAATCCTCCTTTTTCCAAATCATAAAAATCTTCATCTTGCACAACCCCCCTCCCACTTCCTCCAATGACCCCGCCCCCTCCTCTTCCCACACAACGTGCTCCCGCCGTTCCGTTACATCTCACTTGACAAATAATTTACGCAGTGGCTATTGTTACGGCAGCCGTAACGCATTTCCCATTTTCTATCGTTACGGTAGAGTGGGTAGACTGCAACTTTTATAAACACATGAGAAGAAAATATAAAATTAGAAGGAAAAAAGTGAATTTGAACTTTATGAAATTCGGACTTTATTTCCCTTTAAAAAAAAATCCTCCAAAGCCTCAGGTTAGAAAAGAAAAAAATTTGAGTGCAAAAAAAAGATGCGAACCCGCAACCTCGCGGCGCAAAATCCTAACCTCTATCGACTGAGCTGTCCCACTGCTCGCTCAAATGTGGGGAAACAAATAATTATATACCTGTGTGCGTATCAAAAAAGTATCGTAGAGGGCGCTAAACAACGGCTGCCGTAACGATAGCCACTTCGAATAATTTACACTTCGGAAATCAGGACTAGTTTCTTTTCGAAAGCACTTTTTATGATCATCTCCTCCTACCTTCAGTTTATCACTTGCTGCATTCGCCGAAGACGACATATCTTTATGTTTGTTGAGCAAATGGAGAACTTTTTCTTGATAAATTAGGCCTAACGCTTCTCTCCAACTCCATGTCTCTCGTACGGTCTTTACATAAAAACTCTGGAATGCCGGTAGACTCTTGAGGGCGCTCTATCCGCGTGAGGCGCCCCAAGTGGGTCGCACTAAAAAGCGTCAACACAGTGCAGTGTCAACACATGACAGAAGCGTCAACACACCGTCAACACATCCAAAACATATCCAAAACACATTCTGAATTGACAAAAAAGGTATATAATTGTAAAGCATAGAATAAAAGAGAATTTCCATTGGATTGAGTTTCCATTTTGTTGTTAAAAATATAGTATTTTCACGCGAAAAAATGACCTTTAACTTGCTCGGCCGTTGTCCGCCATCTTGACTTCGCACAAAGCTTGGACTACACCATTTTAAGTAGGGGTGTGTAGGTAATGACATTATCTTATCATAAACAACTATTAACAGTGCATTCTGATCTGTGAGAGACTGAGGGACTGCGGTTTATTGTACAACGCTATCATCCTTTAGCATAATGGAATGGTCTGCACTGCCACTGAGGCAGCCGATCTCAGAGCGGCACGGAGAGCCAATTTTCTTGAACTGAAAATCGCAATTTTCAGACGTTTAACCTATTGATTTTAAGCCAAAATCTTGTTTCTGTCCACACTCTATGGGTTACATACTGCTTGTGTCAATTTTAATGCATTTTGGATGTGTTGACGCTGTGTTGACGCTGTGTTGACGCTGTGTTGACGCTTTGGAGTGTGTTGACGCTGTGTTGACGCTTTTTAGTATGACCGCCCCAAGTTATTTAAGTTTTCAAAGGCGCTTTTGACAGGACCAGCGGGCCGCGGTTCCGCGTTTTGTTGTGTGTATCCACTTTTACAAAACATTACAATGTGGACCACATTTCCATCTTTGTGCGTGTGGAATGTACAAATATCCAATTCATGTCAATTTGCAATTGCCATAGGATTATTTTATGCCAATTGCAAGGAATGGTGGCAGCCCTGCTGATGCGACGGACGGTCGGCTCGTTTACATCTTTTCCAGAAGCACGTGGCAGGCGCTCTCAAATTTCTTACCCGCCGCTTCGGTGTAAATACAACACCTTTGGCTGTATCCGCGTCGGAAGGAAATCATGAAGATGTCAGAAATGTTGAGAGACAAGATGGAGACGCAGGCTTCCCATCTTCAGTTTCCTCAAGCTTCACTTCACAACTCCGAAATTTCCAAAATCATGGTCTTCATGCAGTTGGGTAAATATCAACATTTTTTTTTATGGCAATGCTCTCTGACGACTGGGTAAAAAAGTACTAGTACTAAGCCTATAGTTGCAACAACCGTCACTGCGCGCCCTTTCCTATGTGCTCTAGTGGGGCGGACTCTATATGCATTTTTGGGTACACTCTCTCCCAACACATATAGCCTAGGCGGTACTTCAACAAGTTCAAAAACATTTAATGCCATTTTGTCTGACCCTTTTAGGGGCGAGTCATGACGCTAAAAAGTGGGGGGGGGGGGGGGGGGGGCTGCGCCGGCAAAAGAACGATTCCGATAATTTCACTTTTTTTTCCTTTTCTGCATTTGGCCAGCTCACCCATAGAGCTGCTCACCCAAGTGAAAATAAAATAATTCTAGAATTTCGCCATTGCTGGGAGTTGGCAATATTTTTAAACAGTAAGGGGCAAATGGCGTAAACAAACAAAAAATCGGCTGCAACAGGCAATAGTTTTTTTTTCAATCCAATAAGCCTATAGTTGGGCAATTTCCAAAGGTTGGCATTATACACTTCAGTCATTGTTCTGCATCCCACTTTTACGGAGATTGTACATTATGAGGACGTTGAAAGAAACAGCGTTGATGCGAAATCAAATCCCTTTTGCTATAATGGCCTGGAATTACAACATTCAAAGCATTTTGCGTCTGTTAGGGATTTCAAATTCCTGCTCTTAATAGTGGCCGTTTCTGTGTTATCCTCTTGGTCGAAAATCCTCTCAAATATTTCCTTGTTCGTATTTTACCCATATAATCCGAGAGCCCATTGAGGTCTCTCACAAAAGGTTTAATTGCGGCAGCGAGTAGGTGGGGTGTCCAACCTTCAAAACCGCAATTCTTAAGTGTCATACCCGTGCGTCTGGGAGGGGACACCGCCTAAATTTTTTTTTTATGTCTAAGTTCATTAGAACGATCATTCCAACACCAAACAGTCATGAATGAGTCTGCTTTTGCAGAATTTCAACTTACGAATAAAAAATCCCGTGCAAAATTCACTTAAGAACGGCACGTTAATTGCCGATTTCTGCACGGCTTAAAAAGTATTACGCAATGCACACCAAAGCGTCGCTACCCACGTACTGCATTGCAAAACCACTGCAATGTAACATAGTGTAATATACGATATTATGCATTATGCCGGCCCAAATATTCGAGATAGTCATGATTTTGCGAATTACGCAATAATGCAACCTATCACGTTATTAAGAAATAAATGTCCGCGTTAATATGGCCCAGTTAGTCAATTCTCATGGTATTTAGATTTTTTGACGATGTATCAAAGCCTACCTGATACATGAATGGACTGTAAAGCAGACTCACTCGTGGCGGAGCCTGAATTATTAAAGAGAGATACATTACGAAGAAGGCCTGAAAGTAAGCAAAAGATTTAGGATGCATGATATGGCGAACACTTTAGTATGCCGGGGATCCTAAGGGCCATTTGGATTTTCTCCCCAGTTTGATGCGAGTCCTTTTCGGCATAAAAAAGGATGATACAAAATGGCCGGGATCGATGATTTTCCCCTTTAAAAACTGCTATTGAATTGGACACACCAAAGAAGCGCTGTTCTAAATGGGCATGTTTTTCCACTCATCCGGAAAACATAGATCCCAACTAACGGAAGTCATACGCATGTTTAATTAAAGAAACACAATTTTTACAGCTGTCCATGGAGTGTTAAACTTTTCCAACCAAAGGCGCACAGTTTCTTAAAAAAGAAAGTAAAAAAAAAAACCGCCGCAATATTTCATATATTATCAGATCAATACATTCATGTGTATAATGGTTCATATAGGGCCTATAGAGTGATTCTTGATTCAAGACATTCTTTGATTTTGATCGAAATAGACCATGGGACTGTTATGAATGTGTACTTTTAAGTGGAGGAAGGGGAAAACCTATATATGTATAATTATTTGTTTATGAATTAAATGATTGATACCAAAAAAGTACTAATAAGGCCTATACATAATTATGCATAAATCGGAACCTCTACAATACCGTGAGATCAGGAAGTGGGAGTGTTTCTGGGGCCATAGAAGTTTTTGAAAAAGAATGAATAATTCACATATAATGCGTTGTAATTCCAAAACTGTGTAACACTCTGTTATTTTACAGTACATGTGTACGGTACGTGTTTATTTTTAAGATTACTGTCATGGTATTTCGCGATTCTTGGGGGCTGTTTTGCAAACTGATACGTATGCCTCAATGCTATTACGTCATTTCACACAAAAAGAGTTAAGCCCGGTTCATACTCTGCGCGAAAGCGAAAGCGAACGCGACTTGTGACGTCGTGGCAAGTATTCGCGCTGCGAATTCGTAAAAGTTGAACATTATTTCAACTCGGGCGAATTTCGCAGCGAATGTTTTATGACGTCAAATTCGCTTCGCATTCGCTTTCGCATGAAGTATGAACCGGGCTTTACGGTTTTGCGTTATTTCGCGGTAAATAAAGCCGTTCGCGGATTTTGCACGAGTTTTTTTATTCTTAACTTGACATTCTGCAAACGCTGACTCGTACACTACCGTTTGGTGTTGGAATGATCGTTGTGCTCAATGTACACATAAAACAAAAAGCACCTTAGAAGGCGGCTAATTATTGAACTTTAACTCGTTCTTAAGCACAAAATGCACGGGAAAAGCTATTCTTATGTTGTGGATCTTGCATTATAGTCACAAGCAGCTTATAGTGAAGGTTTCGCTCTTGTGCTCAAAAGTTTAATTAACAGTAAATAATTAGTGCTAATTAGGCCGTTCTTAAACATGGATGCACACGGGATTTCTCATCCTTAAGTTATTGGTTATTGATAAATTTTTCGAAAACTATCTTTTCGCTTTGGAACCGTGCTTGTGCGCGATATTCTAATTAAAAGTCAATTTTTTTTGGGGGGGGGGGGGGGTCTTTAGGTGGTGCCCCTCCGAAACGCACGGGGTGTGTCACATAATTAAGAGTGACGGTTTTGACGGTTGGACACCCCCACCTACTCGCTGCCACCATCAAACCTTTTGTGCGCGATATTCTAATTAAACCTCAATGGGCTCTCGGACTTCTGCCACATCAAGAGTTCCGCAAGGAGCAGTGCTCGGACCACTATACTGCTGACTTTACCTGCCGAGCAAGTTGACTTCACAAGTGAGACTATTCGCTGACGATTGCCTAGTATACCAACAAATATCACCTGACAAGGACACCTCAACTCTACAAAACAATTTCAAGTTGCTCAAATCATGGCAGAATGAATGGCTCATGAACTTTAATCCATCGAAGTGCTGTACTATCACATTTGCTTACCGGAATCCTCCAAAGAGATCCTACAGTGACCTTTTGTGGGGAGCAACTCACATCGAACACAGCTTGCTGCAGCCAAAACCCAGAAATTTCTCGGAGTCATCAGGCGGAATATGTGGAGCTGCCCAGAAGAAGTGAAATCCATGGCATACCCTATCTTTGGAGTATGCGGTGACTGTGTGGGACACACACTGAGTGTAATATACCGTAACACTAGACAGAGTCCAAAAAATATGCAACAAGATTCTGCACAAAAAAATACAGTATAGGAAGAGGGAACAGTCACTGGAATCCTGGAGCACATCAAGTGGGGAGACATGGAAGAGCAAAGGAAGATACAAATGCTATCAGTGCTCTACAAAATCAATCATGAGCTGGTTTACATCTCACGAGCAGATCACCTCAACTGAAACACAAGAAATACCAGGGGGCACCAACAAAAATCCTACAAACGACATGCAACCAAGGAAGCCTACTGGAACTCTTTCTTCCCGA